TAAGTCATCTTTGTTAAGACCATTTGGAAAGAATCTGTGCGTTTTCTACTGGTGAGTCTTTGTCTTTTTCTTTCAAGAATTTTATTTCTGGAGAGTCTGGATGAGTCCAACTGGCTCTGTCCTACCCAGCTGGCCTGAGCACAAGTGGACTCCAGCAATCTGAAGGTCTCTTAACACAGTGGTCCTGCAGGATCTGGCTGAGGCCACCTAGGAACAGCTTCCCTGTGGCTTCAGTGGCCTGATTCACCCCTGGGCAAATATTTGATTTTGAAAATGGTTAGCTTTCACTTATTTCACCGTGTGTTCATGCCAAAAGCCCAGGCATGCCCTTGTATTTGCTAAAGGTCTGGCTCTGGCAGCGTGGTGTGGGAGGATCTCCTGTCATGCAAAACCTGAGGTCAAACTGTCCCCTAGCATTCCTCAGTGCTGCCTTGACAGTTGGCTCTGAGGTGATGTGTTTGATGCCATTAGAGAGAAAATTTTTGGGTTGCTCATTGTTATGGCTTAGTCATGCTCATGATTTTATCCCTCATGGATAGACCTCAGAGCTCACTGTCGATCCTGACAGGCACTATTCACTGACTCATCCTGTACCCATCGGAATTGTGGCACTCGTGGCAACACTGTGTGACCGAGTTGGGGCAGGCAAAAGGTCCCCAGGTCCCTCCTCCTGAGGTCAATAACCACAGATCCTGTTGCTGTGGTGATAGGGGCTTCTGGGATACACATGTACATAAAGATATGTGCCTCAGACCAACAGAGAAATCCCTAAAATAGTGCAGGAGAAGGGAAATCAGGCTGTGTTAGTGTAAGACTGCTCGTGGAGGAGTCACTGGCAACAGGGCCCTCAGTGAGGGCAGGCACCTGCTGCCCCAGCTGGAGCCAGTCCTGCACTGATCTCTCTGGCTGCTCCAGTCCTCTCTTCCCTCCCTCCAGCTGCTCCAGGCCTTTCTCTCCGTGCGTTTGCAGTTGGCTCTGATCTGTGCTCCCTCAGCTCCTGCCGGTGCCTCCGAGCCCCTGCCCTGCTGCCCCACTCAGCCCCTGGTGCCTCTGCTCATCCCTTCCCGCAGCCATGAGCTCCATGGCCCCGCTCTGCTGCCTCCAGCCTCACTGAGCACCCTCAGGCCCCTACTCTCATCTTCTACCTTTCCTTACTTTGTGTTTCCACCTCCCCAGATGAGCCCTGTCCCACTGCCTGGGTGTGACAGCCATGACAGGCACCGTGACACCACTGCTCCTCCCCTGGCTCGAGGCCGGGCAGGACTCAGCCCTCACATCTCACGGGCTGCAGAGGTGCTCGTGCTGAGCTGGGTCTTTCCTCAACAGACCTCACCCGGTTTTGTAGCACAACCAGTCCCATCCATCAGCCCATCTCCAGGTGCTGACAGGCTGGACGAGGGCCAGGCTCTGCTCCTTGCAGTGTTTAATCCCAGCGCCAAGTCACCAGGACACCGTAGACCATTGGGTTCCGCTCAGGCATAATCCCATCATTACCACTGATTTGTTCGCTCCCGCTCCCCACGGAGCTTTTAATCAACTCTCCATCTTTGTGCCTTCACACCTTTACGCTTTTCATGATTGGCTCTGCTACCTTCTGCCTCTGCAATGAAATAGTACCATAGAAATCCTCCTGCCTCTTACATACATTAACAATCCCATTTCTGCTCTCTCTGGTCCAGTGAAGGGATCTCCCTCACCCACAAAGACACCACTGTCTCTGGTAGGCGCACGGGGAATAGCTTCTATTCATTATTCCCAAAGTCCAGTACAATGGGTTATAATTAGTTACTGGCCTCTTTGGTTTACCCTACCTTCAAAGGCTCTTTTATAGTTTAAAAGTGAAGGGAGATGCTGACATTAATTTTGGCTGTCTCTCCATAGTGTTGTGCAGAAAAGATAAAACTAACATGCAGGTAAAGGGATAAGTAACTCACTAGCTAAAAAAAAAACTGAAAAGCAAGCAAATAGGGTCATCATCACATTCATTTCATGAAAGTAGCGTGGTGTTGGGGAGAACTCATTAGCCTTTTTGTTCTGCATTATCACCATCATTTATCAGCAGTTGTATCACATGTCACAGCCACTATCCTTTCTGGCATCCAGTGTGGGACCAAAGGACTCCCAGGGAATGCTGAGTTTGGACGCCGGGGCTGTGCCGTGTGATGCACTAGGCGCTGCATTAATTGTGGCAGATAGAATTTTTTCCAATATACTCCTAAAGGGACACTCAATAAAGCAATGCAGTGTGATTTACCAACTCAAAGAAGCATGGACAAATAAAGCCACATCATGGGCCTGTCCTCCTTTCCCCTAAACCTTCATTTGGTTGTTGGTGCTGGAAGTGTTGCAAGTTGTTTGAAAACAAAACAAGCTCAGCCCACAAGTGAAGAAAAAAACGAAACATTAGGCTAATCAGTCCACACAAACACAGGCTGCTTTCAGTGAAACACTTCCTTCTGGTTATGTCTCCAGTGATGGTGGTCTGTTAAATCTTTAAAGAAATCTGCTGCTTCTTTAAGCTGTGGCTCTCTGATCATTTTCTGTGCACACAGGCACAGCCCTCCACTGCAAAGCAGAGTTTGGGAGGTAGTTTTAGGAATCAGCCAGGAGCTCCTCCATGAACCCAGTCCTTTAATTGCCCAGTGGTAATTGCCCACCTCTTGCATCAATGCAGAAACACGTGCGAAGGGAGCAAACTGCAGCCTGTCCAAGCAGCTGGAGCTGCAGTTATCGGATCAAGTCAGCCCTGTAAGAAAGTATCTGATGTACAAGAGTGGTGCACATCCACCATCCCATCTAAGAGGATGGGAAACGGCATCTTTAGATATTTTGAGCATCAGAGCAGGATGTGAAGGGGCAAGTCAGTGAACCCTGTGACTCAGCTGCTGGGAGCAGCAGCATTTGCTTACCCCCAGGCAGATTGTGAGGATTAATTAATATTTGCAAAGTGCTTTGAAGATGAAAAGTAGCATGTTAAGTACTATAAAGTATTATTAATAGTGATAACAAACTGATAATTTTGGAGCATATGAGTCTTTTCTTAACCTTTTCTAGCAAGCCCTTACATTGCAAGCAGCTGAACGAGTGACAGCACAACAGCCAGAGTACCTGGTCCCCTGTTTTCCAAAGCACTGGGGTTGTGCTGGTTGAGCAAGGCACTAAGGAAGTACAAACCACATTCCCTTTCCCCTCTGAGCACTGCACTGAGCAGGAGAAGTGCTCTGGCTCTGGGCAGTGTCGCTCCCTGTGCAGCCATGCGGGAAGGAGGGAGCCTCGTGGATGGGACTGGGTGCTGCCAGTGATGGCTCCTCCTGTCACCCCTTTGGATCTCATGCCAAGAAAACCAGGCCCTGGTGTCAGCCACAGTCAGGAGGAAGTCTGTCAACATATTTAATTTGAAACGAGAAACAGTTTCAGGTTTGTATGGCCCAGGTCCTTAAGGCCAGTTTTCTGGCGTTATGAAATATGTTTTTCCTCTGAAAACGTTGAGATCTAAGAATTTTGTCTGGAGTGTAAACAGTAGGACTCTCATGAAGAGTAAAATTTATTTCTTAGCTTGATAGGGTCAAGTAACTCTAACTGGGATTAGCTAATGTTTCACAGAACCTGATGTTTTTGTGGCTGGGGAATCCCTGGAGGAAGGAAGATATCCACGTTTGATGAAAAGCTCCTAATAAAATTAGATACTGCTTCTGAGCTTATCAAAGGAAGATGGAAAGTAATGAAAATTAAAAGTGCAGCTCTGGAATCTTGTAAAGTCCTGACAAGATAGCAATCTGGAATCCAGTGTCCATGGTTTATTTTCCTTTTTTCTGCCCCATATCCCCACGTACACACAATCCTGCACACGCTACCTCTGCTTTTTTCTCCAGTCAGATGACCTTAGTTATGTCCCTCTCATTTTCCCTCTTTGAAGTTCCACCTCTAAACCCCCACCAAAGCCAAAACAAAACAAAAAACCAAACCAAACAAACAAAAAACCAAAAATAAAAATAAAAAGGCAAAAAAAAGCCCGCAGCAAACAGGCTGGGACAACTTGCCAAATCCCAGACTTTCTCTGATGAGGTGTTGCTAAAGACAGGAATTGCCACCAAAAAAGAAGGTTAAGCTCCAAGAGATCAAATAAAGTTGTCCTGTTCCCTTAATTTCTTTCAGAATTATTAAGTGAACACCTGGGACATTTTCAAAAAAAGCAGGAATCCTTTTAGGAAAGGGAAAAGGCTCATGGCTTTGATGATTTGTTTGTGGTCAGTAAGCAAACTAAGGGGCCAGTGTTCTTCATGACTTTTACATAAGCAAATTAGACATAAAATGAAAGTGGAAATAAGAAAGGATGTGTTGGAGAAGGGGAAAGAACTCTCAATACTGCTAAAAATATGTATTTTTAACTGTTTGCCTCCCTCTGTGCAAGCAGTTAACCTTTCTGCTCTCTCATAGACTGGAAATAGGAAAGATTTTCTGATTGTTTGTCCCGTGCCTGTTTTCTGTGTTCCTTTGTGAGACCTTTATCAGGGAGCTTGCTTGTCAGAGACACCAAAAGAAATACTCTGCTCATTCTTTTCCTTTCCATGGGGCTGTCCCAAGATAACCTCTACCATTCTGGATACTGGTCTCTAACAGCAAAGTGTCGGGTTGAACAAATGGGGAGGAACACATGCTGTCAAAACCCAGGTGGGAATGGTGGTTTAATTGCTGCCTGGTGTACAACAGGGATATAAAATCTAGCTGTCCAAAATCTGGAATTTGATCGCTCTTTGGATCACTGCTGATGTACCCTGATACCTGGAGCTCGTAGCAAGGACACTGCTCAGGTTTTCTTTTCTATTTTCCCCCTCCTTTTTTCCCCCAGGTTGCTTTAATCTGTAATATCAGCAATAATCACTGTGGCATTGTTGCCTTGGCATTCTTGAAGAGTTAGGAGTGGACTGTAATTGAAGAGTTCATTACCAAGATCAGTTGGGTCCTTGATTACAGTGGCAAGGTGAAATATATATCCTCACCAAAAAGCAACTGCTAAACCTTTAGAGAAGTCACCCACTTTTCACTCTTTTTCATTAGGACCCCGACAAGCTTGTCAGCAAAATTAAAGGTATGTCATTCACATTGTGCATGCATTGCAAAGGACTATAAACCTGCCAACCTCTTTGATGAAATAAAAGGGTTTTATTTATGATTCATGTAGGAATATGAGGTTATTTTTATTCTGTCAGTACACTAATAATCAGACAAGAGCTCAGGAAATGAGAAGGCAAACTGACAGGGAAGGTTCTGATAAAGGGGAACCCTCTAGGGTATTTTGCCCCCTTTGTAATCTCTTTAGTGCGAGGTTATAAGCATGGCATAGCATGATCTTGCAACTAGCTTGGCTCACAGGAACAAAGAGAGTAACTACCTAGCAGGACTTGAGGTATAATTCCACCAAAAAAAGAAAATACTTCCACCAGAGAGGTCTGCATTGCTGCACTGATGCGAACAGGAACTCCCAATCCATTTTTCCAAGAGCACAGTGAGTTGTAAAGAAACCCTTCTTTTCCACTTGCTTTCCTACTGGGCAACATAACCAATCTTCCCAACAAAAGAAAAGAGACTGTAAACCTCCTACAGAGCCACTGCAAATTTGTTACCTGTTTGTTTTATACTAATTTTTACGGGGCCCAAAGCTGGGCATTTTTCCAAGCGCTCCCAGTCCAGCTCAACATGAGATAGAGCAGCACAGAAAAGGGAGGATGGAGAAGTCCCTGGTCAACATTCATGCCAGCAGAGGAGCTAAGTAGCAGGCTCCATTTCAAACCGTGTCTTCCCCTGGATGTTTCAAGTGTCTTGGCAGTTTGAAGCTGCTTTAGTTGCGTCCCAGCTCGGCAGAGCTTCTGGAAGTGCGTTCCGTGCTCCTTGGTGTAAGCTGTCATTCATCCCACGAGCACAGCCATGATTATGGAAACACTCCTCGTGAGTAAAAAGGGATCACTGTGTTAGCTGGCTGGCCTTAAGTACGGTGGTTTGCTGAACAGTGGTGTGCTGGCAGGAAAACACAGCCTAGCAAAATATATGCAGGATGAAGTGAAACAAAGTTCACCGGAGGAAGGAAAATAATACTAATCCTTCATTCAATAAGCAGCGAGTTAAGTACATTCTGCGTGTGGAAGAAATGTAAAAGCCAAGGGAAGAAAGCACACACATAAAGGTGATGGGACTGCCTTCCTCTCTAAAGACAACATATGGGGCATTTAGGTATTAATAACATGGGGAGTTATACCCAAGCTGCTCACACGAAGGTTTAAGGTTTCACAGAGTTTCAGGGTGTTTGAATTCCCTCTAACCAGAGAATCCCCTGGAAGTGAGGGACTGTGCTAACTTTTCCACAGATTGGTAAATCAGTGAACAGACATGCAGAGGATAACAACCAGTGTTTGAGATGGGATTATAGTCACCCTGCAGTGCTGTCATCTCTGTGATAATTTTCTGTATTCAGATTGGAGCCTCACAGAGGTTTGGACTTGGCTACGTGGGGCTGGCTCTGTAAAGGTGATCCAGGTATCAGAGATACACCGAGCAGATACAGTCTGGTTGTTGGACTCAAAATTGGTCTCTGTTGTCGTTTTGGGATACTCCTGAGTGACACCTTCCAGGCTCTTGTTGCTTGCCCTGTGCTATCCTACTGATGCTGAGATTAGGGGTAATTTGTAAGGCATGTGTTTCTTTTAATGGAAATCATAAATCACAGAGGGCCTCAGAGAAATATAGAACCTGACTGCACTGCTGCCTACAGTATTTTACCTGTTCCTTTTCTTTGCCTCACACTGCTTTCTGGGTAGTCACTTGCTTTCTCTTCCCATGGATAGACATGGAAGCTGCCTCTCTTTTTGTTAGTGTGGAGATTTTCCATCATTTGCTTGTTTTTGCTACAGCAGAAGGATTTATAACAATCTGAAATTCTTGATGACAAAACCTGCTGCCGTTAACAGGGGAGCTTGAGGACAGAGGCAGTACTTGAAAGTATTTGAAAATTAGATGTCAGGGGCTGGAAGTGGCGGGATCCTGCTGTTTGCAGAACACTTGGTGCTCGTCCTTGCTGAAAATCTGGCCAACTGGCGAGAGCCAGCTGGGTTTTTGACTACTGTGTGATGTTGAAAGGACACAGAGTAGCCTCAAGGTGCTGCTGTCCCTTTAAAAACCTCCTTCCGTCTGTTGACTCGGTGATTTACAGCAAAGCATAATTTCATTTCTCTCAGCTAATTACGAACCGCTCCCTTCCAAACTCTTGATCTTTTCACACAGCCGAAGGCATCGCTTGCAAAGCAGGCCCAGGATTTGGGAGCCTGCACCGCTATTCCCGTGGCAGCCGAGTGCTTCTCCTTGTCCCTGCCGAGCCTGCCATTGTGCTGGGAAGTGGAGCAGGTAACTATTCCATCAGTCCGAGATTTCCTTCTCGTGGAGCACGGAGGTTCATTATACCCACTTTATCAGCAGTACGGTTTACTGCCGAATCCATGAGAGATATTCATGTGAAACACGAGCAGAGAGAGAGGCATTGCATCTTTTCATTAATAAGCCCTCTTCTGGGATCCGGCATTAGTGAGATTCAGCGGATCATAGAGCACAGGGGTATCATTTTTACATGATTACTCTAAATTCTTAAACCAGAGGCTTAAGAGAGAGGCTTCTCACAAAGGCAGCTGTGGGAATTGTTAAATGATTGGCACAGCACTCACGATGGGCTGAACCACTCCGGGTACCTCTAGTCATGGGGGGTACCAGCAGGCATTTTATTACCTGCCATCGAGGGAAAAGTGGGAAACAGGGAGTGTATCAGACAGAGGAAGACGTGCTAACCCTGCAAAATATCTCTGTAGTTCTGTCTCTCCTCCTGAACAAAACTCTTGCCATAATAGTGATGCAGGCCATCGTCCCACTGCATAGGTTAAGCTGTTTTTTTCCCTTCCCATGTCTTCCTTGTGTCTACACTTATTTTTAACCTGTCTGATCCCACCTTCATTAGTGTGGCTGCTGAAATAATCCCCCTGCAACCTCCACCCCCAAATAATTAACTTTTGACTGGGCAGAGGGTCATTTAATTCCACCAAACACAACACTCCTGAGATATGTTGTCTACACAGGATAAACCTTGGGTGGCTCAGAGCAGTGGTAGACAGCCAGCAAACCTCTGCTAGATTGTGAGGGGATGGCATTTACAACAGAGAAAGGCATCTGTGCATTCTGGAGACCTACATTGTCTTCTTGATGTCATATTTCTTCTGTGATTTCATGTAATTCCATCCAAAATCCTTGCATTCCACTCCCACCGTCGTAGCTGCTCAGTCCCGTCCTGCTGGGCTGCATTCAAACCAAAATCAGGAAGTTGATGTGGCTGAAATAAAAACTCTTTTTTTTTTTTTTTTTCCCCTCCCTGGATTAGTTTTCAGATGGATAAGTTCCTCAATCAGTTCCAAAATACAGATGCACAAATGCTTATCCCAGCGTGAGAAAAGGGACCCCACAGGGACCGAAGGGACTGGGCTGCTTCTGTCATTGACAGCCAGAAGTGTTGGCTGAGCTGTGGCTTCCAGTCCCCATTTAGGAAATGGAGATAACAGTAATTCCTTATTTCTTGACTTCTTATGTTGGAGAAAACTGTCAGCATTTGCCACATATGTTTGCATTTGTCCATGGAGCTGGATCATAGAGCAGGCATTAAATCCATGCAGGCTGCACGGCCTGGGGAGGTCAGTGTGCAAGGAATGAGGCACCAAGGAACACTTTCAGTGGGAGATGAACTTCAGAATTGATACAGTGAGTGGAAAGTGTGATGCTGAACTGCAAACCACGACCTGTGAAGCCTCAGTGCTCTCTTCCTAAAGCCTGTCCTAAAGCCCCTGCTCTGACAGCAACGACTGCCAGAGTCTTCCCAAGGTATCGCTAACTCTGGAAGAGGAAGGTGACCACTGCTCCCTTTACATTTCTTTGGTGAGCGGTAGCAGGAAAACTTTTCCTCAGTTATTTCTCCAACATGTTGAAGTCCAGTTGCAAAAACCTCCTGCTTCCCAGTCAGCCTGATCCTGACTGAAAATTGCTAGAGATTGTTTTGAGCTCTCAAGTTTAAAAGCGAGGAGAAGGAGGAGGTGAAGGAAAAGGAGAAGACCAGAACAGACCTATAAAAGCAGTAATCCATACTGGAGATTTCTGAGGTCTCCAGCCATAAACTGCTTTCAGCCTTGGTGTAAATCCATCAATTTTCAGGTTTTTAGTTACAATTGATTTTAGGCAGAGATGCCCCTCTTTCAGAAGCCGCCTTTCAATCTACTGCTTTCTGCAAGTCTGAAAAGAAAAAGAAAAACAAGAACCAAGAAGGCGAGGTCATGCGGGGGGCTGAAAAATCCAGATCAAACAGCAAAGAACACCCGATTAGAAGCCAACACATTTCTCTTTTCAGTATCTCTGAAATTGTTTGGCAGACTTAATTAGAAACAGGTGCAAGCTATAATATTTATTGCAACAATGCATCATTTTTGTCTGTTTCCAAGGTCATTGTTCCAGCCAATAGGAAGCCAGCAACCCACAGGGAGTATAACTTAGTCTATATGGGTAAAACGTGAATTACTTAACCCTTTATCTAATGGAATGAAATACAACGTTGCACAAAGAGCAACGCCGGCAAAACAGAAAATCCTGGGAGAAATCTTTCCTGATAACAGGTTCCAGTGAAGTAAGTGACATCACCAGCTGAGCTAATAGTGAGCCTCAGGTAAAATGGAGTAGGTACAGATAAGGAATGAGAAAAACACATTGTTTTTTTTTTTACTACTGCTCTTTCAAAGGCCTGGGTTTATGTAGAATTTGCTGCAGTGGGAGACCATGATTGCATGTTATCTGGCGCCTACTGTACAGCTGGGTCTCATCCGCGGCGTTGGGATGAGCTCAGCAGTGGATTTCTTTGGATATGTCTGTCTCCAGAGGGATGGGGCTGCAGATGCACCTGTACCAAGGCACCCAGGCATGGCCTCTTTGCACTGCCAGGTGAGCGTGCCAGGCATTTCAAGCGAGAGAAGCCTCAGAGAGAACGTTGTTGATCCTTCCCGCCTTTCAAAGCTGCAGATTTAGGGAGACGAGCTCCATGTGCTTCTCCCTGTCTGAGAGAGGGTGTCCCAAACAGGACTCACCCAGTCCCACAGCAGTCCTGTTGGGTAACAGTGACAGTGCCCTTGGTTACAAAAAAAGCGCCCCATTTTCAAAGCCTCCACTTAATTCCCTCCTGTGAGTTTTTCTCATAATCTTTGCATGACTTCTTTGCGCTTCCATGCTCATTTGGGAGTCAGGATCTTCTTTTAAATTCTATTTTACTCCTTTTAAATGTGACAAATATAAATAGGGAAACAAAGCAGCAAACGTTAATAGGAGAGATGTGTGAAATTGGGGCATTTTTGCCTTTTTTGCAAAAGCTGCAGGAAGTTGCCAATATTTCTGCAGACAGAAACTATTTTTTCCACCTTTGAATCACCACACGGCGTAAAATCTGTGGGTATTTGTGTGTCTTTGGATAGATGCAGGAAAATACAGACTATTTCTTGAGAATTGACTCACTCTGGGCCCTTCCTTGTTCTTTTGGCACCCACACCTCCCTGAAAGACATCTCAGCATCAAGTCCTCACCTTTGCCCAGATTAACTGTCCTGTGTCTGCAATCAATTACTAATGTTATGTGTGATCCCAGAAACCATTCTTAAGAAAGCATCATCTGTCCATTAAATTCAGAAGTAAAATAATCCAAACACATCATATTGATGGATTTGAGATTGAATTCTGAGGGAATGTTTAGGGAGAGGCAGATCCTGCAGTCATTTTTAGAGAGCTCAAGAGAAGAAAGGATTATCTTTAAAGAGGACCCCTTCTCCCCAGCACCCCCAGCAATGTCCCAGCACTAAATTCTTGGGAAGTTCAGACCTGGTTGGAAACTTGGCAGCTCAGCATCCTTGCTGATTTGTTCCCTTCAGTGATTTTGCTATCTCACACTTCTTAACTGAGCCTGGCTCATGGCTTGCAAATCCTTTTAGTGGTGGGCTGGTGCACTTGTACATCAGCCTGTGCATCACAGCTCTGCTCAGATAATCTGATTCTTGAGGAATTTGTAAAATCCCCTGCTCTGTCTCTCCTCCTCCCCAGAAGCAGAGGGCTCATGCAGGGCTGCTCTGAACCTGGGAATCTGTCACAATCTTCCAGCCAAGGCTCTTGCCAACATGTCCCAGGTGTGCATAACGAGGAGCACGAGGAAAACAAGGAGATTGCACTTGTCCAAAGCCTGCTAGGATGGCAGCTGCCATCCTGTGGAGCATCCCTGCGCCAGGGAGCCAGGAAAATTAGAGGAGGGCATCAGAGAGCCTCCCTGCACTTATACAGGCATTTCAAGCCCTTCAGGAGTGCCCAAGGTGAATAAATGTGTGGGGACAGGAATGAGCAAGCAAGGAATGAGTGAGGGAGCTGAGCAACATGTGGAATAACCACTTGGGACTTACAGGAACACGCTGGGGACAATGGGAATGGTGATCCTGAGAGGCTCTGCTCAATCAGGCTGTTTTGCTTTGTGTCCCAAGTGCTAAGCCATACTGGGATTGTATTTAACTGGGAATCAGGCAGCTCAAGTTACAGGTGACCAGCTTCAGTCTTGGGACATTTCTGCATTGTACTTAACTGAATAATACCTTCCCTTTCTTCTTTTTTTTTTTTTTGCTCATTGATCAAGCTGCTTTTGAGAAAAGTGATACTTTGCATATCTGGCTAAGTGCTGTTAACAGCCTCTGCCTGCGGTTTGTTAAAATTAAAAAAAAAAAAAAGGAAAAAGAAAAAAAAAAAAGAAGTGTGATCTTGCTGGAGAAGTAATTTGCTTCTCTCCAACCAATGATGGCTTGCACTTTATGCAAATTGGTATCTAGGGACAACAAATCCCATTTAATACATATGCATAGTTCATAAAAAAAACGACGTGAGAGAAAGAGAAAAAAGATAAAGCAACGAGTCAGCAAAAGAACAGGTTCCGAGGAAATTTATTGTCCCAAATTGGACATTTGTAACAGATGATGTGAACAAGTGTTAACTTTGTTTTCAGCAGCTCTTCACGTACATTCACTAGACATCACACAGATTATGTTTTAAGGATCTGAACTGTAATAAAAAAAAGTGTCTGTGGGCTTTGGAGTGTTGTGTTCCATATGGTTGGGGAAGTGCGGAGTTATTGCGACAAGCATCTTGTGAAGCTCATTACGCACGGCGGTGTGAGATGCGAATTGCTGTGCATCGCTATAGGGTACGTACATGACATCCCACAGTCAGCAGATAGCAACTGGAAATGAAAGATATGAAGGCACAGAGTACAGCTTCAGGGAACATGTTAGACAAAACATCTGCTGGTATCAGAAAGCTGCATTATCAGATCATTGTGGCCATGAATTTTTTATAAAGAGTTTTTTTTCTTTTTTTTTTTTTTTTTTTTTTTTTTTTTAAAGCTGCAACTTTGAAAGTGACATTTTGCGAGAAAGTTTTTGATTGAAGTGTGATGTCAGGAGAAAGGCCAGTCTAGTTTATTATCTGTGTAAGAGCCAATACTGGCAGCCTGAATCAGCTCCTTTCTCCAAGCAGTTGAGTTGGCCATTCATGTACTACAAGAGCTGTTTCTTGACGGCTGATAAAACCTCGACCCGGGTCACAGGTTGGAGCTTTAGTGCCAGGCTCCTCAACCAGGAGGTTTCAAAGTTTTTGCTCCCATGGTGTGGCTGGGGGCTGCTGAACAAAAATTCATCCAAGAAGTAGAACCTTTCTGTTCAGAAGGTGGAGCAAAGCAAAGCAAAGCTCAGCATCCTCACCTAATTCCCCCTTGGGTGGGACCTGCACAACCTCTGCGTACCTTGTCCCCGCTGCCGTGCTGAGGATCAGCTGCTCTGTCCGGGATGGCCGTGAATAAAAAGTCCATCACATGTTTGTTGCTTGCAAAACCTTCTTAGCCCCACAGGCTGTTTTTTGGGAGTGTTGCCCTGAGCTATGGACATCTCCCTGCTCAGAGGGGCCCCCTACCTACTTAACATTCCTGAGGGTTCTGAGGGCAGCGAGATGGCACGAAATGTATGTGCATGGTGTAACTATTTATGTTAAATGGACAGGCATTTTCCATCCTTTCACCTCTCCTGACCCAGCTGTGACTTTTCCTGCAGCAACAGGTACCAATGGAAAACCTGCCTCTGGTTTATCTATGGATGGTCTCTCTCTCTCTCTCTCTCTCTCTCTGTTCAGTCAACTGCCTCAAAAGTGCATCCCAAAGTGAGCAGACTGATTTCCTGAGCTGATCCACGAATAGTTGCCTCAGAGGAAAGACCAAAATTAACCCTGATTTTTTTGGTTTTCCTAAACCTTCTCCCTGTTTATGTGTAAGAGGGTGGGAGAATGGAGGGACATGTTCAAAAGCAGCATGATTTATGAAAGGATTTAGTTGTCGGCAGCAATTTTTTGTGTAATGTGTTCATTAATGTAGTGGGGCTGCAGAGAAAGCCAGAGATGGTTCATCCTCTGTCACTGGTACTTAGGGAGCCTGGAAGTAGGTGAGGGATTGTGCTGGGCTGACCTGTTGCTGAACAAGGCAATCATGAGGTGAGGGATAGAGCTGCTGAGAGCAGCTGCCGGGAGGAACGGCGCTCCCTGAGATGAGCCCACCCAGGCCACAGCTGGAACATTGTTTTCCCAACTGCTGCCTTGGAGTAGCATTTAAAACCAGCAGGTGCATAGGACATGCAGATCCAGGTTTGGCTGTGTCGGTTACCTAGACAGGAACTACAGCAGGAAGGTAATGCAATGTTCTTGCCATTGTATAAAAATAACCCTAATGGGTTTTTGTGATTGCTTCCTTGGGATGAGAGGTTTAGAAAATACTTAAAGATAAATTTAATGAAAAAAGCAGCAGATCAAAGCTCAGTAGTTGTTTGCTGTTTTGTTGTCATTTTTTAAAACCTGTTTAATTAGAGTTTGGAGGCTGGAGGTTTATTATGAGTGGAAATTTTGATTTTAACTTGCTCATGTATGTGGAAATGAAAAGCTGAATGTGGGTCTGCATTTCCCAGAGGCATCTCCACTGGACTGGCTTCAGGTGTGAAGCTCCCAAACCCTGGGATGCTCTGGTTTGGAGGGGGATGAGAAGGAAATCTGACCTCATCTGAATTTCAGTAATCAAGGACATCTTTATAGCTGTATAAATGGGAATCAGAACCTGCTGCATTTTTAATATTCTTTAAAAGAGTGAAAAGCTCCTTTATCTGAAGCTCAGTGTTCCTTTACTGGCTACACACCCACACCTGCAGGGAACCCGAGGAAGACTCTCCATGGGATTCCCACTGCTTAGTGGGAACTCACCTGGGCAAGCTCATCTCTCCACACTGGAGATGTTTTCCCCTGTACCTGTGTCCCAGCATCCTGGTAGGAAACTGTGTGTACCTGGAGTCAGGAGGCTGGCAGTACTAGAGCCCCTCGAAATGAGACATCAACCAAATTTCTTCTTAACTGTTGTTGTCGTATGCGGTGACCCAACACTGAGCAAAAATGAGTCCTGCAGTCAGTCCTGTGTGTACAAAGCAAGCGGAAACATTTAAGTGCCTCTTTGGGCAGGCAGTCAGGTACTGCTTCATCTGCAAGCCAATATATCAGCATTTACTAATGGGTCTGTGCTAGTGCAGTAACTAGGCTTTTAATTGCAGAGGCTGAAACGTGAATGTATAGCCCATCCCCTCCCTTTTTTCCACCTTTGCTTTTAGTTTGGGTTTTCACCACGTTTGAAAGATTTCCTTGGCTGTTCTTCAACTTTGTCTCTGTGTGCTCTCCCTGGTAGCAAAACTATTTCTGAACAGGTGAGTGTTTTAGAGATGGAATAGATATGATTTCTTATAGAGCATGTCTGTATGTACATGTAGAGATACACACACACACACATGTGCATATGTATATGCAAATTTGGCAATGTATATCAAAATTCTGCCCCATCTCCAGATGGCTGGAATATGGGAAGCTTGTCCCTGGCACAGGCAGTGTGTGCAGTCAGCAGAGCAAGCAGAGGGGGCAAAGAGCTGGCACTGCGATGTGGTGGGAGAGCAGGGAAGAATATATGGACATGCAGCTAACGAGAAGGGAAGGGAAGTGGCTGCAGAGGAAGGAGATATAATGGGTCCCCAACGTGGCAAGCACATATGCTGCCATACAGCAAAGGCAGAGTGCCACCACTAGTGACAAGCGGATTGCACCTAAGGAAAACAGCTGTGCCAAGCGCCCAAGTCCACAGTCAGCCTCCCGACCCCGCGTCTGCCCCGCTGATGTGGATTAGACTGGTCAGGTCTGGGAGCCTCTCTGAGCCCACGTTCCACAGGAATAGTGGCTCAGTATGTCTCTGAAATACCCCTTGCACGGCTGTCTGTTTTGCATTTGCAGTCTTGCATTTGTGAGGTTGTTTTGTTTTGTTTTATCTTACTTAATTTATTCTACTGTGCTCAGTACCACACGAACACTTAGACTGTGTGTGTAGATCATTGCATGGTTTAGTGCAGTTCTGTGTTACAAACCCTCCCACATAACCCTATGATTTGTTAATAACTTTTCTGTTTTGAAGAAACACCCTTTGACACCTAAGCTGGATCTCCTGTTCTTAGGCATAAATATAATTGTCCCCGGTGAAGAGCATCCCTCTGACTGGTCCTATCTGCTCTGTATATATTTGAATATATAAAATATTAATAAATGATGCCAAATGTTTAATCACATCCGTTTGACTCTATGAGAGTCGGTGTCTGTAGGCTTTCTGTGTTAACTGCTTCTGTGATATCTACATACTGCTGACTTGTTGTTGATCTCAAGTTTTTAAAGCAAAATAAAACTGAGGTTTGCAGTTTGTTTTGAATTAATCAGGTCTGATTAGACAGGAACAGATCAGGCTGCTCTGGAAATCACCGAATCTCTCTAATTCAATTTCATGTGTTATTCAGAAAGAAATAGTTCATAGCTTAAGTGAAAGTGCTATTTATTTAACACTGGTTTTTTTTCAGAGTGGGGCATTATGATGATGATCAGGGTGTAGGAAAGAAAGCATTTTATTCTATGAAAAAACAGATATTTTAGAATGGAGTCACCTGCTGGTAGATCTCATAAATGTACATAAAAAGATGCTTCCTAATATTATTAGTTTGGTTTTTTCTCCACATCAGCTTGACTGTCCATCTAGAAGCTTTGATAGCTGGAGCCACCAAAACCAGAAGACTGTATTTAGTTTAATAAGCCAATTTAAAGAGAAAGGTTGGAATTATGTATGGCAGAGGACAATTATGCAAACTAAATGATTCTTCAATTAATAATGAGATCCATGAAAGGCAAAGGAGAAGGACCCTCCTCTGAGGAGGAGAAGGCTCATGGTTCCCTGTGCACACCAGGGTGTGCAAGGGTTGGGATGTGGAGGGACAGGGCAGGGGCAGCTCCCAGCCAAAACCTGAGGGGCTCTGCTGATGGTGGGAAGTCTCCATTGGGAATTTTGCTTTCCTAAACAGGTTCTCCTCTGATGGTGTCCATCTCACAGAGCTCTGTTAGGAAGCAGCAAGTGGACCTGGGCCGTGTGAGCACCTGCCAGGATCTACACTGTGAGTACAGTGCTGGAGGCGTGGTAATCCCAACCCAATCCCCTTCCTCCTCACCCTCTGGAAAACAGGCCGGAGACACACAAGCCTTAACTCCAGAGCCACCAGATTGGCTTTTTCATGCAGCTTTTATCCTTCTTTTAAATCCTTGACTGTTGTGTGCCAGAGCAACAAGCCATATGTTAAAGATGGTAAAGAGCAAATACTTCGCAGCCAGTACCAGCATGTGGAGTCGGGGGGGAAGCGGGAATAACGCTGGGAGAAGGGGGAAGGAGCGATTATCTGGTAGTGATTATTCGGGAGGGCAGTAGTGGGAGGTGCTGTAAGTGACAGGGATTCACTATGGGACGCAAATCACTTAAGGCAAAGCCATTAGGATCAATTTAAAATACCAAAGAGGGAGGCTAAAGTGACAATAGCATATTTTAATTGAAATCACAAATATCAGTCTGCAAGATATGGTTTAAAAGACCAGGCAGAGTTACTTTATCTGAACAGAGGAAAAAGTTTTCCCTTTTTTATTAAAAAAAATGCAGAGATCAAAATGGAACTATGTTTTAAAAAAAAAAAATTAAATCCCATTTATATTTTTTTTCCTATTTTAATATTCTCTTTTCTCTTGATGGCCATGTTATAAATGGAATTAACTACATTACTAATGCTTTTAATTTGATTTTAATAGAGCCTAGGGCTGAAGCATGGAATCAGCGTGTGTCCCATTAAAGGAAAAATACAGTTAGAGGGACAATAAATAGCATGTCCAGATAAACACATTTATGCCTTAGTTTTATTTATTGAGCTAAGTAGCCCATGTACAGAGACTGGGGTTTTTTTCAGACACTTTTCCAAAGCTGAAGTCCATATGATGAGATTGTTACTGGTTTTGGCAGCAGCAAAGTGAACTTGGTAAAAGAGCCTGGCATGGAAATCCACCGAGTTCTGACATATTCCATTTGCTCCGAACTCTTTGATTTCTGCTCACAGAATCTGACATGTGTTGGGCATTGACCTTGCTCTTTTAAATAAGCTTATTTTAGAGGACCTTTGCAGAACGCTGTGTGTTTGGCCTCGATGTAAGCTGTTAGGGAAATGTAGTACAAACACAGAAGTTGTATGTTTTGAATGCCAGAGATGTTGAGCTGCAGAGCAGTCAGTAAAAGCCATACTTCTGACTCCTTTCTGTGCTCTTAACAAGTGTCCTTAAAGAAAAAAAAAATTATTTATCTTGCATTTGTGTGAAGGTTTTTTTGTTTATTTATTTTTAGCACGAAGTTCAGGACCAGATTTCTTTTTCAGTCTGAAATATTCCTGTTGGGCTCAGACACTCCGTGGAGTGAAAGCAAACATTTTGAAAAGTAAGCGATTGTCCCAGGCCAGAAATCCCAGAGAGTCAGTGTCTTATTGCAGAATCACGCCCCATAAATGTCTCTGAATAGAGGCACTGGGATACAGGAGGGAGTTCCCCAAAGCTTGGCCTTTCCTTTATGGAACAACCCACTTCACTCAGTGTGTTCCAAGAAGAGCCACAACCTTCAGTGTGGAGCTTTGATTTCCATTTGTCACAGGGGAGCAGCTGGTATGAAAGTTCACAGTCAAAGTGCTGCAATCTTGCAAATGCCAGCTCGCAGCACTGTGCAGGGAAACAAATCACTGGGCCCCAACATGGCAACACTCTAATGAGAGAGGGATTGAAATGGGTAGAAAAAAATGCCCTGCATTCAGCCTCTACCTGCTCGAGTCACTAAAAACTCCTGTCAACAGCAAAAGCAGAAAGAAACTTGGAAACACACTTGGGATGTTGATGTGGCAGACACACTCCTGCACCCTTTACTTGGGCTTTGAGGTTTGGAGCCTGGAAATTTAATCAGCTGGAGAATGTGTCCCTGGAAAGGGTCATTGAGTTTAGCCATATCTGAGTAAGTGGCAGTAATATTCTACACATAGGAAAACAGGGATCAAATGGCAAAAATAAATGTAAATTTGAATTCGTGGTCGTGTGTAGCTCTTCAGGACAAAAGCTGGCTCCATGAACAGCAAGGAGAGGGAGCAGGGCTGTGCCAGAACATTAATAACCCTCTTCCTTGGCCCGTGGACAGCTCTGCACACTGGATTCCTCTCAGAGAGCTTGACTCAGTTGGCTTCCCAAGCACACAGGAAGGGCATGAAGACCTGTCTCTGTTGACACTGGGTTAAGAGGCTGTGAGGGTTTGACATGGAACATTTCCTTGGCTAAAGGAGTCAGGAGTGGATTTTTTTACCTCTCTCTGCAAACCCCTCTCCCTGATTCAGCGACAGTGAAGGAAAACCCTCCTGTTCCTATGAATAATTCATCTCCAGCACATACACGGGGTTCAGAGCTTGACCCAGACAGGTTTTTAGGGAAACAAGTGAGCATCATGCCATCATTGCCAGTGCTGGTGGCTGCTCCATGTAGGATGAGTTGGAGCTGTGCCATCAGTCAGCAGGAGGGATGGCAGAGCTGCTGCCCCTCCTGCAAAGGGGGTCTGTCTGAAATTCCCTTAACTGTCACTCACAGCCTTGTTTTTTCAGGGAAATGGCTTTTATTTGTTGTAAATTCTTCATATAGAACAAAAACTAAATAATGTAACATATTCTGGGTTCTGGGCAGATAAAAATTGAAAGGGCTGGGGTGTTTGTGCAAGTGGAATGATAGTGATGAGCACCACATGAGGTCCCCGAAGATGGTGTCAGGGGACTCGATCCCCCAGAAAATGATGAAAGACTCTGATGTAATGTTGTTTCGTGAAACAATTTGAACATAAATGCCACTTTCCTTCCCATTAACAACTGGCTGCCATTGTACCAGGATTTTTTATTTTTTGATATGTATTTTGAGCACACTGAGACCAAAAACTTCCATTGTGATAGTGCTGCAGGAAGGTTGTGGTGCACTAAGAATTGGAATGCAAATCACACTTAGACACAACCTCCTGCTGAGGCCCAAATTTTTATAGATCAGGTTCTGCAGTCCTGATGAAGAATCAGTGATCTACCTTTTCTGGGATTCACAAATTAGCTGCAGTCTAAGGTATCATTTCCTATGACAGAATTGTAACTTGCCAGATGAAAGTTTGTCACTGAGGACAGTCCCCTGATCTTCCACTAATTTTTCCAGCTGCAGTGCCACTAAGGATCCTTTCCCACACAATGCCAACACACACATCACAGCTCCCCACTCTGCAACATGCTCTTCCTGAATATAAACATACTGTATATATTGATCCTCTCCTCCCTTCTTTTTTTTCTCCCCTGGTGTGCAGGTGGTAAAACATTGGCTGCCATGAACTTCATGATGCAAAAAAAAAGAAAGAAGAAAAAGCTGTGGTTTGGAAGCTGCTGGATAGCAAACTGCAGGCTGGGAATGTGGTTGCTGAAACCACTGCAAGGATAACAGGGCATACACAGGTTTGTGGATAATTCTGTTTGCTAATTGCTCATGAAATTTCAGGTAAGGAACATCCAATTTGTTATAATAGGTAATATTATAATAGGGTTTTGCTTTCTAGGGTGGCTTTTTTATTATTATTACTGTTATTATTTTTATTGCTGTCATTACAAATACAGGGCTCTCTGTGACTGGAAGAACACTTTACAGAGAGGCTGGGGCAGTGCTGAGAGGCAGCACAGGATGTTTTTAGCCATGGACATGGCAGCAGTAACAGCCATGTCTCCAGGCCCTGCTGTATCCCAGGTTCCCCTTCTGAGGCTCCATGCCTGCTCCTGCCATCCTTGAAGCACGGGATCCATGACCAGCCCACAGCAGATACATAGGAAAGTTAAAGGAGGCAGATCCTCTTCTAGAAATGGAGTACAAACCCATTTTACAGGGCATCTGAATGACAGCAACGCTCAGTTCTTAACAGTTTCGAGCTGGTACCTTAAACACAAGAAGGGAGCTTTGCTTCTCAGTGCCCTGACCCACTGAGGCCTCCCAGCAATTGTTCTGGTCACCCCTTTCCCTTCCAGCTATTTAGAGGTTCTTGACTCTGGAAATATATGCTGAAAATTATCACCAACAGTGATCACAAGCTCAGAGCTGAGTCCCTCCGGTTTGCATCCACTTGCCAACCTGCAACTTTAACTAGTTCTACTACTTACTACTAATTAGCTACCAGCTAATACTAATAGCTACCAGTGCTGCAGCATTTCGGAGTTACACACATTAATGAGAATGAGCATTTGTTGACAGCCATGGTGGGAGTTGTCTGTGTGCAGCATTTCAGGGGTCCCCGTTGCTGTAATGTTTGATTGCCTCCTCCGGTAATTACCATTGACACTGAGCACGTTTTTCATAGGTCTCACTTGGCTGTGCAGAGCTGAAAGACATGTTGGGCTCTGTTTGTACTGAAGAGAGAAGAGGCCAATAATAATATATTTTTCAGTAACATCCCTTCTTCTCCCCAATTCCCTCACACGGGTCACACGGTGCCAAGGGACGGAGTCGGCTCTGCTGCCGCACTTTTTGGTGCTTTGTTGTCCTGCATTAAACTCCCTTTCACTACTTTTTGAATATGTACAGAACAATTTAATCATTTTAACTTAAAGTCAATTGCCTCCTTCATTTGGGAATATGAAGGTAGTTAAAATGCTAAAGAAATTTGGCACACCAGCAGTAAGTTAACTCTGGTGGGCCTTTCCGTGCCTATGTAAAAGAGGGTGCATAATGGGAATTAAAGCAGAGGGAATATGGAGAAATACGGGCCCCTTGTAACTCTTGCAGGGAACATGAGCACATGGCTGGCGCTTCTTTAGGAATACCAATTGCCTGTTTGGAAAAAGAGGTGCTGGGGAATGTCCCTGTCTCCCTGGTCAGCTTCCTGACTGCGCTCTGCAGAGAGAGGCACACGTTACACATCCAGCCTGCGGCTCTGGCTCGGCCTGGAGCTGCAAAGGGAGCTTTTTCCATGTGCTACTGTGGAAAGGAAGCTGCTCTCACCCTCACCCTGAGGAAGATGAGCTATAGGAATATACAAGGGGCTTTTTTTATAGCTTGGGGGCCAGAAGGGGAAGCAGTGGTCATGAGCAGAGACTGGAAGTTGGCTTGTTAAGTAAATCTCAGACTGTAGCTGGTTTTAATTTATTTTTTGTTTTATGTGCAGGAGACTAGGCCTTGCAGGCCTGGCTAATATCAAAGCCTGGGGGTTTGTAGATTTTTAATCAAGGTCCACTTTGGGGGGTTCTGCTTTTGGGGCTTGTGGATGTGTAGGATTTTTTTTGTCGTGTTTTTCTTTTTTTTTTTTTACTTACTGCAGTGTCTGGATTTCTTTAGTTCAACTTTTCCATTCTTCAGACTTGAGCCAAGTGAGCAATTTCAAATTACCCAGCACTTTCCAGAGAGGCCTTTTTTGTTGTTTGTTTTTTTGGTTTGGGATTTTTTTTTTATTTTTTTTAAGCAGACTTGCAGTCCAGTTTCTCTGAAAATCCCAGGTGGTGTCACAGTCCTACCCCATTGCCTCTCACTAATTTGGCATTCTTCACACAGTCTAAATAGTTTATTGTTCATCAAATCTGTAGGAAAGGAATTTTATATCAATTTTTTGTTTGTTTTGTCCCTCTGCTGGCAGGAAAAGTAAATCCCAAAGTATTTCAGCAGGTGCTATTAATATGCAAATAATGGAGAGTACACTAGGTCTAATAGACCTCCCAACTACATGGGAGGTGTCGCTGTTGGAGCAAATTAGCTTTCCGTAATTTGCATGCTTTTCACAGCCTCCTGGGATTATATTTTAGATCAGAGACAATAAAAGCATATGCTGTTAGTTTAAAACGTAACTAATTTTAGGCTTTGAAACCATTTTAACCTAACTTCTTAGTGTTAAACTGTTATTTCCAAAGAAACTTTTCACGGAGCTTGTCATTCTCACAGCCTTTCTCTTTCCCCATTAACTGCTCCATCTCTCTTTTCAAGCTGAAGAGAAGAAGGGAATCTTCCAGATGGCTGTGTCTTGAAAACAAGGTATTTCTCACAAACCCAAGTCCAGATTGTCCTAGTCTGGTTCTAAGTTTGCATTCAGGTTCTGAAGGGGTCTAGATTGAGCTTTTCATGTCAAACTTCTTCCCTCCCCTTTGGCATCTCCGTGAGTTGTAAATCCACCCAAAAAGGATGCTGTGGCCCCTGCTGACCACTCACAGAGGGAGCATCAAAAAATCCTTTTGTAGCATCAAAAAATCCTTTCTAAACCACCTAAGCAGAATCCCTGAGCTGATGTGGCACAGATGCCCAGTGCGCTTGTTGGAAAATTCTGTTTAAAACAAATGGGAAGAAGAAGCAGGGATTCCAGTGCAGGTTCAGTCTGTAGAGTCATTACTGAACTGTACTGGCACGTTATTGATGGCACTTTTCAAATGGATATTGACAGCAAAAATCACACTGCTGACACCTGTGTTTTGGGACAGTTTGGATGACGGGGCACCAGCTCTCGTCCCTGAGGCCTTGTGTCTGTATTTCAGGCGCTGCTGTGGTTGCTTCCTGCCCGACCGTGCTGCACTGCCCCAAGGGACTGGCCAGGTGGGTGCATACAGGAACTCTGCCCCTCATCCCCCATCCTTCTTCTACTCCTCTGCCCCTGCTCAGGCTCTGTTGAGCTGGTGGGAGATGGTTCTCCTGGCTCCTGACTGCCCCAGCTCCTCCTGCTTGGAAGGGTTGCAGCAAGAGGCCTGTGAGAGAAGCGGCAGGTTTAGGTGGTGCAGAGGTGCCTCAGCACAGACCGCAGTGGTGTCGGGCGAGGGAGCCTGAGGGAGGTGGAGAGGCAGCCCTTGTGTTCTGTCTCTCTGCCAGTTGTCCCAGTGCCCAGAGGGTGTGATTTGTGAGTGTCCTTTGGCACAGCTGCTCCACTGCCTGTGTATCTCCGTGCAGGGTTTCCAGGTCAGTTGGTCCATGGGGTGGTGCCCGTCTTTTATTTGAAGAGGGACAGAGTTCAGGGGTAGGATCAGATGTGGAGGAGTTGGCAGCCAGATGGAGATCAAGTCAGCATTGTCAAATTTATTTCTGGCATGGGAAAGGTGAGTGTTAGCAAGAAAGAGTAAGTCTGAGAGATGTCCTTTGAGACAAGGCTGGGAAAAAAAATCTCTTGGAATGCAATTTTGGCCATACAGCAATGTGTGGTAATATTTTTGGGGCCACAACTTTGCCATCAATGTTTTCATAAATGTATTTCACACTGACAATATATGGAAATACCTCATGAGTGCTGAGGGCTCTTTAAATGCCCTCCTACCACTCCAAGCTGGATTTGCTCTGGCTTGTGCCACACCTGCCATCCCTGGTGCCCCACAGGTTTTGTGCCAGGGTGCCACTACTGCACAAACCTGAAGGGAGGTTAAGTTTTAAAATAACCATTCCTGAAGCTGTAAACCAATGCAAAGGCAACAAAGTGCTGGAGATGACTTGTGATAGTCTCTTTGAAAATGCTGAGTGCTTTTTTCCCCTCTTCTCATCTCACCTTAAATGTTTGCTAGCATTAATACCAGTGACCTCTCACTTCTGCTGCTTTTCATTAATGGGGTGTGGTTTGCCTAATACAACCCTGGGCACTGGCACTGGAAACACTTGCTTTATTTAAAAATAAAAACAAAAAAGAGAGAGAAAAAAGGGCTCTGATTACTCAGGTGTCGATAGAAAAAACTGAGATGCTGTGCCAGATGGCTGCATTTGTGAAGCAGAGTGTAGTCAGAAGAAAGTGGAAGGAGACAAGGCAACTGTACATCACAAGTGTGAAAACATGACCAAAATACCTTCAGCCTTGTTTCACCAACACTGGATTAGGAGGCAACTGTGGTGAGATGCAAGCAAAGAAAAGCAGGAGGGGACACTGTTTGGAAAACAAAAATACCTTTCAATAATGAACTCCTTTACTTCCTCCAGCAAAAGCTTAGAAGTTTACAAAAATCAAGAGTTTTTGCATTAAATGGAAGGACTGTGGGCCAGTAGAGCACTGTCTGGTGTCAGTGCAAAGCACCACATGCAGTACAGTAAGAGGTTGCTCGCAGGCTGTGTCATGGGCTCAGTTTGCATTAGAGCAGGATGTGCTGCTGCCAGTCACCAGTAAGTAACCACTGTCCCCAGTGACTGTGACAGTCCCCAGCTCCATGCCATGGCTGCAGATGTCCAGGAAGGGTTTTCCAGTAACACGTGGGAAGTGCTGGATCTCACCTCAGGCACATTCATGGCGTGTGCTCATTGCTTTGCCTGCGCCCACACAAGTGGTACCCAGCAGCCCTTGGTTGCGGTCTGGGGTAGTGTCAGCTCTCAAAAGTGGGGGCTTTTAGTAACACCATGGGCTGGTTTGTGCCTCAGGCTGTTAGGACACGTTGCTCACCTCGTTGAGAAGCTTTAATCAACGTTTGATGCCAGGGCAAAGTATGTGTCGAGACCGTAAAAGCCTTGGCAGGACTGTGGGTGAGTCCTTCATTACCCTTTTATATCCTGAAATGGATCCTGGGCACTTTGAGCTTTGCTTCCATGCTGAAGCTTTTGGCTGTCAGACAGGGAAAAGTTTAGAATAATTTGATCTGAGATCAGAAATTCGAATTTTTTTTTTTTTTTTTCCATGCTTAAGCTGGCTCTGCCCAGACTGTTTTGGAGCTCTGTGCTCTCCTCCTTTGTGGTCTCCCAGGGGAAAAGGAGAGCTCTGACATGGGCACAGAGGGTCACTCTGAAGGCTTGACCTCTTGTAAATTGGCCTTGACTTTGGCCTTGGTTGTATCTTGGTTTATAAACTTGGCTTTCATCACGAGAGTCTGAAATCCTGGTGTTCTTAGATTGCAGTTTGATTAGAACATTGCAAAGAAAATCTGTGTTTATTTTTACCAAAACTATTTCCACATGGCTTTCTCACCCCCAGCCTCCAAAACTACTTCAGTTTTCACAGGTACTTTCTCGCAGTGAACTTTATCCAAATATGTTGAAGGTAGCTTACTAACAACAGGTACAGAGAATGTGGCAGGAACATGTCTCTTCCTCTGATTCCTGCTCTGTTGCTTGAATGCAAAAGTTTCATTCTTTTATTTTTATAAAATCTGAATTTCTGTAATAACTTTGGATCAAAAGTTTAGTCTCCATGCCAGGAAGATGTTGGGTTTTTTTATTTGCTACAAACTACATTGTCTTATTTGGGGAGTATGTTCACAATTGAGAAAGAATTGCCTTTATTAACAAATCAAAAGCTTGTGCTGTCAAAACTGAAATCATTCTACCTTTTTATGTGCAAATTAGAGCTTCTGTCAAACCTTCAGCCATGGTGCATTTAATTTGTGGAAATATAAAAATATCTGGCTTAATATTAAAATATTCTGCAAGAGGAAGGAAATGCTTTACGTGATGCATTGCAGTCAAGATTCTAAAAAAAATCAGATTTGAAAGAAATAAAGTGGTTTTTTAACACAATTTATTTTCCCTACTTTTGCCAAAGTTCAGAGCAGTACTTAAAAGTGTATTTAAGTTATACAGGTGTTTGAGTATCTGGTTGGATCGTGGCCTTTGGGAGTGAACCAAGTTAAATGTAAGTGTGGCCAGGGCAGCAGAGCTACATCCGCTCTGTTTTTCCTTAGAAAAGGGTCACAAGATATATTTTTTTATTTTTAATTGATAGCAAAGGTACTGAGAAACTTTTGAGTCTTTTCAGTAAAGTTAGGCTAAAGCATAAAAAGCAACCCCTAGTTTCACAGTGGTCACTTGTGTTTTGGAAGGTCTTTGTAGAGAGGATAAAATTCGGATTATCTGAAGTTGGGCACTGGTTCTGTATTTAGGATTCCAAAATAAAGAGCTGCCTGTTTTCCCAGCAGTGCCCTGATGCTCCACCATTTGGGAAAGCCAGCATGGTGGGCCTGGTTGTCCTACTGTTGGCCTGGTTTTTTTGGGAGAACAAGGAAAACCGTGGTCTCCACCTCCAGCGCTGCAAACTGTCTGCAGAACCCCCTTTTCAGTGTCTTCAGCTGCGTTTTGGCTCATTTTTTTTTTTCTAGAATCCCTGCAGGCTACTTGATGTTTAATTCCCACCTCTCCTTCTATGACCTGGGAGCCTTTTCCATGGCTCTGTGGGAGGAGGGGTCCTGTCCAGGCAGGCTGTGTTTGCCCATTGGTTTTTCCCAATCAGATATTCAAATATCCCGGCCTGTCTTTGGGGAGGTTTTAACGGTGCCAAGTCCATTTTACCTCATTATTTCCAAGGCCTGAACCGGGGACATTTGCCCTTCTGCAGAGCTGAGAGGGGAGTAAGTGGCTGTTTCTTGAGGAGCAGACTCATTTCCCTGAAGTGGCCCGTTCGGAGCTTGGGGCAGTGCATGCAATTATCCTCTGGAAAAGGCCCCCGGAGCAGTGCATTAGTATGCGTGTGTCTAGGCTGGGATGTGCCCGGGAAATCACAGCCCAGGTGTTGTGTTTCCAGCCACCTGGCCCACTCCAGCACTCACATGGAAGAGCCCTTCCACCCACACCAGAATAGTTGTGACCACCCACTTCTCCTGTGCAGAGGGTACGAAAAGTATTTTATGAATCTTATCAACTGTCAGAAGTTCCTTTTGGGTGGTAAATGATTGTTTCCAGGCATCCAGAGCACTCAGTTCTCTACTACTTTTATGCCAATGTTGTTAGCAATGCATAATTCCACCATCCTGGGGTTTAATTTGTCTAATTCTTCTGGGTCATCTCTGTAAGGGAGTTTCCACAGGCTGGATGTGCAGTGCATTAAATGTGAAGGTGTTTATTAGCCCATTAGCCATAATTAATGGCAAGGCAGCTACCGAGGCCGTGGGTTGTCCCAGGTTTTGCCCACATTCTCTTTTCATATCCACTCCCCAGCATGAATTTATATGATGTTCATATTCTGCTTCTCACCATTAGAAACCAACAAAGTGGTTTGGGTTGGGATCTCCTATTTCAGGCCATAAACATATGATCCAGCCACCCCATAAAGTACATTCCTCCAGCTTTCCGTGAATTCTCAAGTATAACTATGGCACGCAGGGGAGCTTGGGTCTGGTCCCTCCAACCAGAGCAAATCCTGCCCAGCAAAGCTGTGAGGCACACTGGGAATTGCTCAAGTGCTGAAGCTTCACCCAAACCAGTAAGCTGTGCCTTCGTGCTGCAGGCACGTTTCCCATGGTTTCTGCCAGGAGCCTCTAAAGCTCTGGATGCTGTGCTGTCCCCATGACCTGCTTCCATGCAAGGATTCAGGGAAAAAGGTCTCCAGGCTCCATGGTTTGCGGCCAGAGGGCTGGTGGGAGGCTCAGGCATGGAGGGGAGGGCACTGGTAAGCCAGGCACCCTGGCTCCCCTGCCAGGAATGCTGCAGCCTCGTGCACTTGATCCTTTAATTGGCCCATGTGCACGCTGGACAGCTCTCTCTTTATTATTGTTATTATTATGCAATCAGACACTACTTACTTACAGAATGTGCTGGAGATGCACTATTTATACAGAAACTATGTACAGTGAAACCCATTTTCTCCATGGTGATTGCAGATAATGTGGAAAGCTCTGCTTTGATTCATTAATATAGCAAAAGAGATATTCAGGATTATTTTGTATAATTCACAGCACTTCAAAATGCATATATTTTCATAATACTCTAAATCTACCTCTTGGGCTGGTAACTCAAGCAGATGACGACAGGTTTGCCATAGTGCTGTCATCTTAAAATTGTAGTGGTGCCATTTTTTCACTGAAACCTGGAAGCTCATTTAGCACAGGATGTCTGAGGAAAGCCCTCTAGAACCCCCCCCAGAGTGAAGGGCTTGGGAAACTGCTAAACTGAGAACTTGTCTTCACGGAATCATAGAATAGCTTGGGTTGGAAGGAGACCTTGAAGATCATCTGGTTCCAACCCCTCAAAAAGTACAACTCCAAAGTGATGCTCAGAAAAAAAAAAAGTAAAAGTTTTTAAGTAATTTTGTTTCTTGAGTTGAAAAAAATAACCAATGAGTTAATTTTAATGAGTTCATTTTCATTAGGAGAAGAGTATTTTTTAATTTTATTTTATTTTTTTTTAATTTTGTACCACTTGGTGTTGGGCTTTTGGCAAGGTGAGTAAGCAAACTCTTCAGATTAGCAATGAATCACTGGTACCTCCCATTTCACATCCATTCCTTTCTTACCTTATCAGGACCATCCTTCTGGCTGCACTGACCTGGGCATGGCTTCATTTAAGCCAGTGTTGGGTGAGCCTCCAGACACTTGCCACTTACATTCACACAAAAAAATATCTGGCTTTAAGCACAGCTTTAAAGATAGAGACTCAAAATTCTTTCTGGCCAATGGTAACCTTTGGCAAATCCTTATAATTTCTCAGTGTGGGTACAGGTTATTTTTTTAACCAACGCAGATGGCACTTTCTGACAGCCATTTCCAATTTTTCACCCAACCATCACAACAGACCTCACCACCCTCACAGCAAGGCTTGTCCAAGGCACCCTTGGAGACGAGATTTAAAATATCACTACTTAAGTGATTCGACTTTGTCTTACACTCCTGAGACCATCAAGTGGGGTTTTTTTATGGTTTTTTCTTCCCCCCTTCACCTCTCTCTGACTTTACTGGGCACTGTAGTGTATTTGCACACCTCTGGAAATCAGTTGCATAATTTATGTGTCTAACTTCAGTTACTTGGTGACCAGGGCTTTTCTTTTAGTATCACAGACTAAAATGTTCCAATTGTCATCTGAAAATCTTCCTTTAGCCCCACTGAGTCTCCTTGGCTCATACCTGGCGAATGGAAATGTGGTCAGGCAGCCTTTTCCCTCAGTTCCCAACTTCTCCCACCTCTGAATCTGAGATTGCACATGTACCTGATTTACCCAACTCAGTTCCCTCTAATCAGTTATATATATTTTAAATAATTGTCTGAAAAAATACGCACAGAAATTATGAGGCTCATTTAACAATGAAGCTGCTTTCATTGCAGATATTCCCCCATGTGTACATTTGCTTCTCTGCTGTAACACCTGAAATGTTTGGGAAAAAATTTAAATGTGGCCAATGACCGCATTTAATGCAGGAGATTTTGCACCTCTGGGCTCTGTATTTATAGCTCTGTCATGTTCCTTTCTTGTACTGACCTGAAGAAGAGGATTTTTTTTCTTATCTGATGAAAAGGTTGTCTGTCATGGTGTGGTTATTGCAGCACAAAATACTGCCTAAAACTTGACCCTGAACAAATTTTGTACAAGGACAGTTTACCCCAGATTTCCAAAGGAGATGAAATCCTCCTCATGCAAGCCAAGGAAGCAAGCTGCTTTGGGTATATAAAACTGGGATGAGTCTAAAAATCCTTCATGGAGCCTCAATTGAAATGCACTCTGTCTTTGATCCCAGCTGAAGCCATTCTACTCCTAGTGTTACTCCACTGAACTTGGAGTTTAACATGGATTAGCATGGATTTTCACTGATGTGTGATTCAGAAATTTCAAAACTACATGTGTTAATCATTGTGTGGCTTGAAAAAAATTAAAGGTACTTTAGCCTTATGAAATGATGCTGTTGTAAAACCTTACCCATAACCTTGGCATTGAAAAAGGGGGTTTGTACTGATATCCATGGGCATCACAGAGAGTTTTCCACTTGTATCCCATTACCTGATGCTCATTCTTCCTGTAAGGAAAGGGAAAGCACAGCACAGTCAGGGTTTTTAAATGGTATCAGTTCTTTAATTTAAGAAGCCAATAAGTACAAGAAGTAAATAGACATTTGCAGTGCTCTTTTCACCAGTGCTGACTAGATCCCAGCATGGTCTGGACCTGCCCAGATTGTCCTCCCAAAAGTTTGACTGCCTTCCTCTTTCCTATCTACCCTGGACTCTTACTGCCCTTAACAGAATTTGTGTTCAAAGACTTTTGCGCCAACCAAAACAAGGAATAATTTCTTTACAAATTAGAACCTTCATAAATATCACATCCCTTTCACATTGTCTATGAACAGACTGTGATTTTTAATTTTTTTTCTATTAGATGTTGGTTATTCCCAAAAAAATTTGTGGAGGGAGGATAACTTTTCCTGCCTCTCTAGCAAATTCAAAGGTAAAACATGGTGTTTGTGCTGTGCACACAGACTGGTTACGTGGGGCTGTTTCTTTTCCCTGATTGATGGATATGACTTAGGGAAGTTTCTTCATTTAAGAAAAATGACATGTTAGTTATCTGTGTTATTCATTCAGAATTTCTTTCTGCAAATATTTTAAGTGGTCTGGTTCACTCACTATTAGAATGGCTGGAGATAGGGATTGCAACCCGTGGTCCCCTGAAGTGCACAGGAAATATTTCATATGGCAGTGCAGGATTTTATTCTTATCAAAACCACAGTTTTAATTAAGGACTTAATTACAAAATATTTACTCATTCTGCTAAATAGTTAGTCAGCCAATGCTCATGGGTCCTTTAGGAATTTACGTGAGTTACTCTTCACCGTTGTAAACAGGAACCTTCACTCTGGTAACTTTTGAAGAGCTGTAGTGAAAAAATGAACTTTAAAATTAAAGCTGAGTGCATGAGGCAGCTCTACACCCCTGGCCAAACCAGAGGGCTGTGGACCAGCCCCGGTGGTTTGTTTTTCAGTGAGACACAAAGCCAAGAGAGGTCTGTTTTCAAATGCTAATGAAGCCCAAGGTGACAGAAATTTGGCAGAGCCTGATCCCGGCAGTTACTGGCCAGGGCATTACTTTTAAACACCACTGAATAGAAACCTACAGCCTAGGCTGGTCCTAAAACTTCATCTAAAATTAATCCAGTGCCAAATGACATCTCCTTAGCCCAGGTTTTTTGGCAAAGTCTTTTTCAGAGTAAGCAATACATATTCTTTTAATTTAAAAGTCCAGTGCCTAGACCCTGGATTGTTTGCTTCCTTTCCAGAAATATATTGGAGATGCTAAAAGTCTCCAAAACATGCCCAGTGAGCTTCCAAGCTGCACCAGCAGTACAGGGTACATTTACATAGGGTAGATGCATTTTAGAGCATGTGTGCTGTGCATCTTCACTACTGTCCTCAAACTTTGGCAATGCTTCAGGAAAAAGAGGAAAAAAATCACAGAAAAATATAAAGGAAAGGCTTTCTTTGGCTCACTTACCCAGTTGACTTTGTATTAATTTTCCAACAACAGGATTTACATAATGTATTTTTTTTAATGCCAAACATAAGTATCCTCTGCATCCTGAAACTATCATCATGTTAGTTGATCCAACGGAAAGAAGTAGTGATGCAGAATAATGCCAAGTGTGTATTCATACCAGGCCATCAGGAGGCAAAAGGAAAAGTCAATTTGAGTATTATCTTGTCAGCAAAAAGTAACATTTTTGGAAGGATTTTTAAAGTTCAGCTCTTGTGTTCCAACCTCAATCCCCTGAGGTGTCAATGCAACAGATGCCCACATTTAAGTCAGTGGGGTTGCTCTGAATCCCAGCTTGGGGATGCTCTGCCTGGCTCTGCCAGCTTGGCTTTGTCCCAGTGATACCACCCTGCTGTACTGGGCATGGGAAGATGTGCCCACAAAAACTCTTCCAAAATAAAACCAAACAGCAAATACTGACCTCTGCCTCTGCCAGACAAGTCGTTTTCCTTCAGGTGAAGAACGGCTGTTCTTTGCCACTTCTTTCTGAACAGGAATTCAGCTGAATGGACAGAAAATGTTTGAAATACAAAATTTTCAGGTGATGGGGAGAGAAATTTCCAGTTCCTTAAAGTTACTGTGAAATCAACAAATAAATAATCAGGGGGTGTGGTATTCCATTATCTCCCTTTCATTTTTTTACCCCAGAAAGCAGTTTCCAGATGGATTTTCCCCAAGATGTTAATATTGTGCTGTTTTCAATGCTGATTGAAGCAAGGTAGCAAGTGGTTATTACAGGCCTGACATGCCTGTTCTGCCAAGAAACAGCGTGAGCTTTCAGCTCAGAAAACAAGGTGAACTTTGTTGTTTCATCAATCTGCTTTTGCCTGCCTTGGCCAGGTACGTGTGTTCATGCTCATAATGGGGATGACTTAATTTATGATCAGTTTATTTGGACTTTTCTTAGTCAAGGCCTGATTAGTAAGGGTGGAAAAAGCATTCATCCCAAAGATTTATAATTTTTTTTTCTGGAAAACAAGTTCTTCTTTTGAAAAACGAGTCTGCTGGCACTGTCACCACCAAGTCTTCCCTTTTCCCCTTGACTGCCAAACTGGTCACTGCCTCACTAAGCCATTAACTGGGAGTCATGGACTCCCTACCTGAGGATCTCCTGCTGGAACAGTAAAAGTTTGGGGCCATTTTGGGAGATTCTTGGGGTTGTAAAGTTGGTCATACGACTCTTGCCTCCTTGTCCTGGCTTAAAACCCAACAGAGAAGGAAGTAATTCTTTTACTTACAGTCCTCTCTGTGCCACTGGCCTTTGTTTTCTCTGCTTCTCAGAGTGCCTCTGCAAAGGAGAGACAGTCTTTAGTTGTTCATCTTGAACATGAATTCCTGTTCCATCTCCTTCATTACCCAGATCTAGTCCGAGAGATCAAAGACAGGAATACAGGTCCATGTCAGTGTAATGTGACACAGAACCAGCATTGAAAATGGGGTTTAAATGGTGGCACTAAGTTAATTCAGTGGGATTTTGCCTGAGAAATAATATGTCAATTAAAGCATTACTCAGAAAGGTGTATGCAGCACTTAATAAACACCTTTAATGCTCAGGGTCCAAACATTTCTATACTCTTTTTCAAATGCCTCATTAGTCTCATTTTTACTTAGTTGTCTTTCTTTAAGCCCAATGCTGCTGTTAGGATGTGTGTGCTTGTATTTGTGTGCATGTGGAGGCCCATGATTGTTTCTACTGCTGAAACAGGCAATATAGCTACTGTTTTCTGAGCTGAATTACTATTTTGGCAAAGCATGGATATTTGGGGATATGAAAACTGCTCCGCCACCTTAAGGGAAAAAATTCCATAGGGTTTTGATTCCATATTTTCCTGTTTTCCACTCCTCAGTTGCAGGCTCGTGTTGAAAAATGTCTTCCAGTGTTAGAACTTCTGAAGAGCAAACCTCAGAAATTGGTAGAAAGCTCAGTCTCCAGGCAGGACTGTCTGCTAATAAGGGAATAAATACAGAATAACACAAACAAATAAATATTAACTAATACCAAAGTACACCTACACTTGCGAATTGCTTCCTCTTTTCAAATTCTTGCCAGTTAAGCAGCACAGCAGCATCAGCTTTCCTCACATATTGTAGCCTGAGAAAACAGCTTTAAAGGGCCAAAAGAAGCAAATAAAATGTATTTGTTATTCCTGCTGACCTTAGGCAGGCAGTATGTGGAGCTGCGGGAATCATACACGGAATCTCTGATTATAAGTATGGTGATAACTGGTAAGACTGTGCTGAACTACTGTGAAACAATTCAGGTAGTCAGCAAACAGGGCTAATTGCTAGTTTGGGGGATATTATGGGTAATTTACTGCCCACTGAGGGCTTCTACCTAAAAATAAGCTTTTTTCTTTTTTTTTTTTCCCTTTGGACAGCACTTGCATGTTAATGTAGAATTCCTGATGCAATTACATGTGAAGAGGACATTCAGATGCACTTCCATAAATGCCCTTCTGCTTCTCAATTACATTAACTGTCTTTGTAGATCCTTTGACAGAAACCATATTCTTCACCTTTTTTTTCTAACTAGCAAACAGGCACTAAGCTAGACTTTGCTGCTATCCAAGATGTCCCGATCAAAGGGCTGAGAGTAATACAATAAACACAAGAAAAGAAACTACTGGTGGTTTCCAATGCAAACGAACGGGAAGGTGTCAAGTGAGCAGCTACTGACGATTCCAGCCCTGAAACCAAATGTTCGTGTGCGAAACTCCACCTCTGAGAAGGGAGAATAAATACCCACAGAGTGTTTTGGCTATAATTACTTCATTTAAGGGGAGGGGGGGGGGAAAGTGCTGAATTCAGTTTGCTGAAGTCGGGATATTAATATTTTTGGCATGTAAAGATGTAAACCAAATGTTTAAATGAAATGTCATCCCCTGGGTTCGCGTTTGCCCATTGAACTACGGTACAAACCCTCTGCAGACCTTCATACAATACACATTTTTCAGTTCATTGAAGAAGGCCCCTGCTGCTTCTCAAGGAAAACTAACTTGCAGAAGCAAAATAAATAGTGGCGTGGCAGCGCAGCAGCAGAGCCTCGGAGCACAGATGTGCAGCACTGTCGGCTGCCCCATCAGATAAGGAGCATTCAGACATAATCACCCCAGTGTCTGGGACACGTCGCACGCGGCAGAGCTGCCCAAGTATGGCCTGACAGACACATGCAGGGTGTGCTCGGGCTAAATGGCAACAAGCTGACAGTATTTCATAACAGTCCTGTTATGTCTATAGGCAAGTGTTTGTGTAATTTAGCTTGGGCTTTGAAATAGGTTCAGGACTCACAAACGGAGCTTTGTGATGAGTTGTGGGTGATGTCGTACCTGTGGGATGAGGACATTGGCCCCAGGAAGGGGCAGCCTTGGAGTGTCACACTGGGAAGCCTCTGTCGGTGCATTCATCTGCCCATCCGACCAGCAGGGCTGCTCCTGGAAAAATATGTATATATTTTTAGATACATATACATGAGAAGGCCACCATGATGACAAGAGGGGTGGAGCACCTCTCCTACAAGGACAAGTTGAGAGAACTGGGATTGTTCAGCCTGGAAAAGAGAAGGCTTTAGGGTGACCTAAGTGTGGCCTCCCAGTAACTGAAGGGAGCCCACAAGAGACATGGAGAGAGACTATTTGCAAGGACCTGGAGGGACAGGACAAGGGGGAATGGCTTCAAACTGAGAGAGAGTAGGGTTAGATTAGATATGAGGAAAAAAATCTTTACTGTGAAGATAGTGAGGAACTGGCACAGGTTGCCCAGAGAAGCTGAGGCTGCCCCATCCCTAGAAGTGTCCAAGGCCAGGTTGGACAGGGCTTGGAACAACCCATGGCAGGGGTAGAACTGGATGAGCTTTAAGGTCCCTTCCAACCCTGGCCATTCTATGATATATGTGTGTGTATATACACATATATAGATATGTGTATATATATAAACATGTATATATACATATACATATCTATATATGTGTGTATATGTATAGATATAAATATCTATAAATGTAGAAAATATAGTTATAAATATATATATCTATAATTATTTTATATATTTTATATATTTATATATATGCATTTTATAAATATATATTTATGTGTGTATATATAAGCATAAAAATAGATGTTTAAAAATGTATAAAATAAATATGTATGTGTGTGTATATATATATGTGACCACATGTTTAGCTGTGGGCCCTGCTGCACTATGGCATGCAAAGGGTTACTGATATCTGCTTTTAGGCAAGACACCTCTAAAAAAAGCAAAGAAAGTACATTTAACCCTACAGAAATACAGCTCACTGGGCCTGTGGTAGTTCCTATTAAGATATACAAAGTATCTCAGCAAGGGAAAATTTAACTTACATACAACACATGATTTTAAGTAAAGAAATATTGATGGGGCGGGGGGGAACAAGTATTTTTTTAGCTCTAATTTATGGCTGAGCAGCTTCATTTTAGTTACTTCATGGGAATATTTTAAACCAAGCCTGCATAATATTAAAATAAGTTAAAATGTATGTAAAATTTATGAGAGCATGTCAGGTGCAATGCTTGATAAAGTAAGTTTAATGCTTCAGAATTTTTTTCTTCAGGCAGAGAAAGCTGAATCCTGCAATTCTAGGTTACAGTATAATTTTAGAAACTCTTTTCCATTATACCATTCTTTTATTAATGAGATCCAACCCAATTTAACAAAAAGAGGTAAATTCCTAAAGAGTTTGTGGAAAGTCCTCAGCAGGTCGGAGTGTGTGATAAAAGAGGGTATTCTCCTACTGTTCATAGGATCTATCCCATTTTATGAAAACACAGAGGAAATCAATTTACAGCAAACTTTCCAAGTGTGCCTCTCCAGTGCGGTTTTCCTTCTGGAAATGCTGCCTCGCTCCATGAACAAACAAAAGCTTTGGCAGTTGACAGGGGTTGTACATCACTTTGAAAACTCTTCATTTACCAGGGGTGTGTCATGTTGCTTCACTGTGTGACACTCCCAATTATCGTGACAGAGCTAAATGACAAAGTACTGTCACCCCACTGGAAATTCCAAGTAGCTTCTTCCCATTTTTCCACCTGGTCATGGGAACATTGCTGAGCTGGTACAAAGGAGTGGCAGGAGCTGCAAACAGGGGCTGGAATGGCTGCATTCTGCTCTGCTGTATTAAAAATTCAGCTCCTTGGCAATATTAAATCTGAATTTACTTCCATCAAACGGAAACTTAGCATATCTCATTCTTCCATTATAAAATATTGACATCGGGAAGAGTGAATCCTGAAATGAACATTACAGATGAAAACTATGCGCTTGGTAATTATCATTTTTTTCCCCTTTGTTATTATTCCTTTCCTCTGAGGATTGCACAGGCTGTTGCAAACAGTAATGAAGTTAGCATGCAGTGCCAATGCAAAGTGTGCTGCAAAGTTAGTTTTTCCCTCATTATGGATGAGGGAGGCGAGGTAGCAGGAGGAGGGTGATTTCCCCAGCCAAACTCGCACACGAGCGGGGCAGCCCTTGGCCTCACATCTTAATCACCATCCCTGGTGATGAGACCCTTGGTGCCATCTTGTTTCTGTCTTCTTTTGTTCTGTTGTTTCCCTGGGATTTTTTAGGTCTTTTCTGGGGCTCAGAGCTATTAATATCAATGACTTTTTTTTTTTTTTGTCACAAACTAAACAGCCAGTTCACAAATCCTTTCACTCCCGACAAATCCACTGCCCTGTCCTGTAATGTTCTCGAATAACCACAGCACTGGAAAATACAGTTACAGGTGTGGAAATATCCAAGCAGTCATTCCCAAAAACTACAGTATGAGGAGATCAACACATTGGGCAACCTGCACTAGAATAACCCTTTGGTTCGTGCCTGTGGAGATACTGCATGGCTTGGGATGGCTTCCCAACAGAAGAGCTGTGTCATCACCCTTCTGAAATTCAAACTTGGCCAATTAACTGGTGTCTCTCTCCAAGGTGATCACTCAGAGAGGTCCCACACAGCATGGTTTGCAGGTGCTCACTGAGCACCTCCACATACTCCTGAACCCTCCTGGTTGCCCATGGATATGCCCGAGAAGTGTGATATACACAGCGTGTGACACTGGACACCGCGTCCGTCTCAGAGGCTTCTTACAAAAATCAATCTAAATCAATAAATTGTCCACTCTCCTCATGCAGCATTTGCAGAGGTTCAAAGACAGGACCAATTACTCTTAAGGTTGAATTGTCAGGTGTCAGATGAGAACATAGAAGTTGAAGCATTATATTTAGGAGTAGATTTATTTAGAGGACCTGAAGAATTTGCTTTGCTATCAACAGGTCTATAAAGAGAGCTTTTACAGCATATCTGGCAGAAACTGATTCCTTGTGAATTAATAGGAGGAGTGTTGGTTTGGGTTTTTTTCTTTCCTCTTCTTTTTGCACAGTTCAATCACAAAGCAGGTAAGCTCACACTCAAGCTCATTGTAGTCAAGGCAGTTAAGCTCCTGACCTTGAAGGGCTTTTGGTCCCAACCCTTCTTGCCAAACACATTACCTTTTCATTGCCCAATTTTCTAGGTGAAGATGCAAATTCCCCATGCTTCACTTATGGATAATATATAAATGTCTTTATCATGCATTCAGTTTCTTGGGTTCAGTCCCAAAACTGAGACCCCAACCACTCTCCAGGTCTAAAGGTGAACCTTGCCAGAACCGCAGCACACAAATACCACAGCTTATTCTAATCACACAAGATGTTCCCAAGTTTACCAGTTCTCATCCCAGAATACCAACCCCCCCTCTCTTAGCACTCCTGACAAATCAATATGCATTATTATTACGTGCTCAGATACTACATCAGATTTCTGCTCATGCCAAAATTTCAGCTTGCTGTTCCCTGGAGTATTTATGCTTGTGTACTGTATTTAACAACAGCCCATTCAAAATGCTCACAGCTCCTAGGAATGAAATGCACATAATTTAGGAATAGCTGTCTGGCTATTCAGGCATCATGCTGTGTCAAGGGAAAATTAAATCTCTGACTCTCCCCTCTCTTTTAAAACAAACCTGTACTTTGCATCATATTTTGGGGAGCTGCATGGAAGTTTCATAAAGAGCAAGTGAGCATGGCTCTTTTTCCTGTTTAATGGCAGTGCCTCCCCATTAATGCTCCAAAATGATACAGTAGTTTAAAAAAAAAATGCTCTCAGCATGCAGGCATTGTATCACATTAAGAAATCACGATTTTCTAGGCACTGCACAGCATTAATTACACTGAGCATGCTGCAAATTTAAATTAAATGATATGCCATGTTCTGTTGTAAATATCAAAATGGATTGCAAGATACAGCCCCATATTTGCTTCTGATTGGCATTTGTGCACTGAACAGTATCAGAAAACCTCTACAATATATAATTTCTTGTTGTTTTTCAGGTGCACCTGATGCAAACGTACTTTTTATTTTCAGGAGTGCCTAAGAGCACAGTTATGGGTCAGAACTTGCCTGTACTGAAAAAAAAACCCAAACAAACCTTCCCTCAATAATAATAACAACAATAAAACAACAGAAAAAGCCCTGTTTGCCTTCATTCCCCCCTCCTAACATAACAAAATAAAATATGTTTCTTTCCCCACAAGAAGTATTTACAATACTTCACTGAGAGGAAAATGGGGAATATGAGGGGCTGAAGCAGGAGGATCTTACTTTTTGTCATGGAGTTGAGTACCCAGGATACCGTTTAAGCAAATGTGGAGTTCAGATCACCCCAGCAGAGAAGAGCTGCTCTTCAGAGCTGGAGTTTAAGGCAGAAGAGGAGTGAGGGGTGAGCTGGGCTTGGGGCTGGCTCAACTCTGTTGTGATGAGGGAAGCCTGATCTGGTGATTCAGTGAGAAAAAGTGAAGAGAATATAAGCAATAAAAGAAGGTCTGTTAGTATTTGTATTTTTCTCGGCACAGATATTTTACAATTTTATAATATCAGATTGACTTGTCACAATCTCACAAGCCTCTGCCCTTAAACACTAAGGTGAGGTGTATTTCTAGTGTAATTTCACATATTTTTACGTGATTAAATACTAAACAAATATTTTACAACTTTGCACATCAGAGAAAGGATGGCATTTAGTTATTTGTAGAGAGACAGCATTAAAAAAAAATCATGTGTTTTTCAGGGCTGATTTAAGACCTTTAGGAAATGATGAGCCCTGAGCTGAGAACTACAAAGTGAGTGCCAGCCTGCACAAAAGCACGAGACATAAAGAGGGCACAGCAAAAAAATGTGGGCAGGGACATACAGAGCTACCAACATGTCTTCAAACACAGGATTACCATATTCTTTCTAAATTATCTTTTCTGTATCTTTTGCTTTTAGGACTAAACTCCAGTTTTCCTGGCCCATTTTGCACCAGTCTTTTGTGTACAAGAACTACAACTCTGGAACAAACAAACAAACAAAAAATAAAATAAAAAAAGCAGCCTGATCTAACCCAGAACAGTGAATGGACAATGACACCAAGCTGAGGATGCCTCAACCTTGTAAAACCTTTTTCTCTCATCTTCTGAAGAAGAAATTCCTCTGGAGTCTTCCTCAGTTAGTTTGAAATACACTTCTGTTGGTCAGGAGTGAAATATTCTTATGAGCTTTTTTTTTTTCTGCTGGGTATCAGATAAGACAGTCTTTGTCCCAGCTTTTACTGGAGCTCCCAGTGTCTCTTTTGGGAATGGTTCTGTGTGTTCAGGAAGTGGCTGGTGACCACAATAAAACCTGTATGACTCTGAGATGGTTGTTCCTTTGTGCATCAATGTCTCACAGACACCAAGGTGGCATATTTAGCTTTTAAAGACATGCTTTACCCTGGGAGTTGCACGAGGACACTGAAGGGTGTCTAAATTTCTCCTGTGCCCAGGTAGTGGTCAGTCAGGTGAGAGGGACACCATCAGACAACCCCTCTCCGTAAGTAAGTGTATACTTGATGAAAATAGGTGTTTGAGAACTGCCCTTCACTCTCTCACCATCTTTCAATGCTTGCAGAAAAGAAAATAAGACAAAAAACCTCAAGCCAAAGATGGTTTATGTGCAGCTCAGGAAGCTCTCAGCACTGAATGTGTCTGTGATTTAATAACACATCTACCCAAAATGACACTTCTAATATTCACTGAGAGAAAGAAGGCAGAGCAGTGTGGGGCAGAACCAGCATACAAGGCACTGCTATTGCAACAACAAACAGCTAAACTACCATGTATTTATTTTTCAATATGCACAATTGTTGGAAATGGAGAATGAAAATTATTCCTTGACACTCTGATGGGACCATAGAAAGCCCTGTGCTTCCCCTCGCTCCCATGGTCCTGACAAGAAAGAACTCACAAATTCTAATAAATAGAAGATAGAAATAAATACTTTAACTACTGGCATCAGGTTGGAATGGTTTTCTGAATCGGAAAGTGCTGCTCGTACGTCTTCCTTATTTCTACACCCTGTAATGGTGGCTCTCCAAAAGTCAAAGTGAGATAGATACTACAAGGATCACAGACACTACACTGGGAAACCAAGTATCAATGGTACATCCAGATTTATGGTAGGTGATGGCAGTAAAGTGAAAGCAAAACTGTTTGCACAGTCTGTATTGTTGCCCATTACTGTGTATTTGCCCTTTTTTCTTGTTTAGCCACGGTTGAGAGAATGGAAAATTGTACCTTCTGTACAGTATTAGGAGACACTTACTGATCGTAAGGTCAATCAGACTAGTTTAGCTGCTTGAGGTATTTATGGCACAATCACTCAGTGTCTTTAAGGAAAGGTTAGATACATTTATGGGAAAGGTATTTTGCAGAAGCCTTCCTGTTTCATAGAGGTCCTGGACAAAATGACCCAGGAGGCCCCTTCCAAGTCTATCAAATGTGGTTCCCTGATTGATGCTGTTTCCCCCCAAAGTCTTTTCAAAACACAAAGCACTGTTATAAAATTTAATATGATACACTATATAACTTTAACACAATGCCATTTTCTTATAGGAAATGGTTAGCTGGTAGCGCAGGAGCCTCGTGCAAAAGGAAGGAAAGTAGGAAAAAAGAAATTGCAGTGCAGTTTCTCTGCCAAGGGATATCGACTATAACATTTACACTGTGTCTCAGTATGGACCCTCAGCTGTGCAGGGGGACACCAAGGCATGGAGGGATATCAGTAACCTGGACTGTGGTATATATTTCTCCAGAAAAGCCCAAAAAGACCTGAGGTAATTTTCTATGCTGTGCAATAAGCATTCCCTCAATGCTGCAAAGCAAATGGACACGCAGATCTCCTTGTAAATCACTGCCTGGTGCTGTAATTTGCTGAATGTTTCCTAAATTGACTATTTTTTTTTTATCTTTCAAACCATTCACATATTTAAAAGTTAAATTCATGTTAATGGATTTTTATTTTAATTTAAAAAAAGCCAACCGGATTCTCTGGGTCATTTGGTTGAGATGTTCTGGTTGGCCTCCACTGCTCTGAACTAAGTTTTAATTTTATGTTCTCACAGGCAAAAAAAAAAAAAATACCCAGAGCTTTATTGAGTTGGAGTTTACTCTCAAAACCATTTTATACAAACCTTTTTATTTCCACTCCACCTGATTTAGTTAACGGACAAACTCCTTTTCCAAAAAACAGCTCCCGGCCCCCCATCTTCTTGGGATAGGCTTGACAGGAAATAACAACATCCATACACAGACACTCTGAAGCCTTTTAAAGTCTCACAAATGTGAGTTGTTCCCTTTTGCAGAGCAGGCTGGGAGTAACTCTTTTATTAACCTTCTAACCTCATTGATGAGAAAGAAAAATAGCCAACCCCCCCCTTTTTTTTTTTAATTTGGAAGCTTGCATCCTTCTTTACATAAACATGCATGTGCTCACCCTACAGAAAGGAGAAAAAAAGCCCATGGAAAGCTCCCTTTCCATGAGGAGCTCCCCAAAACCCCTCTTGGGCCCTCCCATTATATTGTACTCAGTGTCAAAGTTTGTGTTTTTTGTTGGAAGACATTTTCCCCCTTTACCATAAGGTTTGGGTCTCTCTATTTGAATCATATTGGTAGGAGCAAATAACAACCTTTTCATTCTTTTCAACATGTTGCATCAATGTATTTTCCTGATTCCTGTGTCAAAGAAGTGACTTTTAGCAAAATGAAAAATCTGACCTGGCTGTAATCCTGACAGTGCTCCCATTGCTCATCCTTAGCTCCATCCCTGCATTGCAGTGCAGAGAAGAAACTCACGTCGGAATAGCTCTTCTCACTGGAGACAAAATGGTAAAAATTAGCCCCAGAGAGTGACATGAGCAGAAATTTCAAAGGCAGGAAAATTTATCTCCTGCTCTTTGTCTTACAGTATGGTGCACTGTAGTGGTTGGAAGATTTAGCTTCCAAGCATCCCATCTATATAAATCTTACTGGACATCAGCTCTCCAGCTTCTTTTTTAGGGCGGTTGAGCTCAGCAGCTGGAATCTGCCAGGAAATGAGGGTCGAGGTAAGGATGGAGAAAAACTTCCCCCTAGATTTCAGGTGTTGGTCAAGGGTCAAGATTAGGAAACAGCCAAAGCCAAACCAACCTCTCAGCTCCATCTCCTTGGTGTGTTGCATGAAGTCACAGCTATTTGGCACAAGGACCATGATTTTGGGCCAGCCCTGTCTCTCCTCTGCTGCAGCTCAGCCCATTAACAGCCCTGAGGATACAGTCCCTCTTGGGGTTTCCCCTTCTGAAAGATTTATACTCGGTTTAAATCTAAATCGAAAGCTCCACTTTAGCTTTTAGGAGCCCAAGACACTTAAATATCTCCAATGGGAAGGACAAGTGAGGGAGAGAAAATATCTCTCCCTTGTAAAGGCATCCAAATAAACCCACTTTGATGAGAAGTTTCCAGCTGCTTTGCTGGGTAAATAGACACATCACAGTCCCAACATGCAGGGATGCCCTTCACCAACAGGCAGAGAAAAGAGGTGGTGGGAAGAGTAAGAGGCACCAAAATAAAAAAGGCGGGATCCAACTGAATTTTTTTACCTCCTCTGATCTTTGAAAACAGGAAAACCCATGCAGGATCAGGAATTTCCAACCTGGGCTGCATGCACCATTAACTCTGCCATGAAGCAGAGCTGGTTTGCTATTGTTGCCTTCTCCACAAGAAGCTGTTACTATGAGCTCTTTGGGGCTCAGGAACTCCATTTCCCAGTTTTCAGTTAATACTTCAATGATTATACATAAATAACAGTAATGATAATCATAACAATACCTGGTTTGCCATTATGTTGTACTCAGTCTTTGTGATGCCTCTCTCACGATAAAATCTGTGTATTAAACACTTTAATTGAAACTCTTAATAAAACAGAGGTATTTTCACTTGTGCAGTTATATTCACATAATGATCACAAAGCACTTTACAGAATAGAATAAAAGTAGCCAGTCTGATCCTTCTGTAGAAGATTTTGTGCATCTCAGTAGTGTATAACAAAGCTGCTCTATAGACAATTAATTGTCAAACATACCGTATTTTGGGCTGAGCAGCATCCAAACAGCTTGGGGTTTGTCCTTCAGATCATTCTCAAAGTCTGTAATGCCACCACAAATGACACAAGAGGGACTGGACGGTCTCACCAACTAGACAAGAGCCGGCTGTGAACCTTTGTGCCTGTATCAAAAGCCCTGGTTCAGAAGGAAAATAGAAAAAAAAAAAAGGTTATAATTTTCCTGGTTTAGGAAAGTCTTGATGTGCCATGGAGCTGAGTACTGAGGAGCCTCCATGGGGTCACTGAGAGAGGACAAGGCAAAACCTGGTACTACAAATTCTAACACTAAATGGTGCCTAACAAGGTCTGGGAGGGGTCTCAAGCTTTGGGCCTTGTAATAGGTAGTTCTGGAGCTGTGAGATGGTGAAGGGCTTTGTTCCCTCGTGTATAATTGATAAATTACCATTGTTAGTACTAAACAATACTACTGAGCACAGAATGGAAACACGCTAATGCTTTATCCATCTCAAGCAATTCTGCTCTTGTGCTCATACTGTTCTTAAATGTGCTAGATATTTGTTTGATGAAACAATAAGTTTTAGAAAAGAGAAAAATAAGAACTTTAAAGATAATAAAAACCTTGACTGCATACTTTACGACAGGCAGCTGTGAATAAGCTTCAGTACTCTTTATTTTTAACATTCCAGATATGTAATTTAATGCAGGTCTAATGACAGTCTCGAACATACTGCTTTAATCGAAATTGTTCAAGCTCTGTTCTGTGACAAGGGCTCACAAGCTACCAGCAGGGTTGTCCATTTTCCCCATTTCTGTAGGGAAAAGAAAAGGGAGGGGAGGGGGACACTCTTGAACTTATGTTGCTATTGATGTGTAATATACAATAAAAAAACAGTTAAATTTCAATTACCCACAGGTAATTATAATTTTATTGTTTGACTGTACTACGGGGATTTTTGTAATTCCCAAGACTAATAATTTTCTATAATTTTACAGGTTGTCAAATAAACTATTAAAGATTATCTTTGAAAAGGATTCTGCAATTGTAAGGACATATCATACTGTTCCTGTACATTATTAGTAATTAGAGATCCCTGGATAGTGAAATATCCGCACTATATGCTAGCTGCTGGATACCATATTTTCTCACAGCCTCCTGTAATCTTGAACCAAAGCTTTCAAACTTCTCAGCCATTGTAGCCTGAGTCACGTCCAAACTTTTATTAATATTCACTGTGCACTCATTAAGCAGTTCTGGTGCGTTCGATACGTTAAATCTCTGCTTCCTGATGGGGAAAAGCAAAGGCTTCCAGGTCCATCCCGGAGTAGTGGAAATAAACACAAAAGGACTCATTCTGAACTCTGTCCCCTGATGAGGACGTGGGGAAGAAGTAACATTTATAGCAGCACAAAAGATCTGAATCTGTCCTGAATGCCTTTCGACAATGATGTGGCTGGCACAACAAGATGGAATTGTGCTCCCTGATTTTATCCTGAAAATAAGCATAGATGCAAATATGCTTGGGATCAGCATTGGCTTAACTCAAGGAGGGGGAATGGTATGGGCAAAGTCTCCAGCCCACAAAAGGCAAGAGATTTTGGGGTATTCCCTCATCCTCATCAGTGAATCCCCCTTTATTCACTGGGACTTTAGTGAGGACTCCCCAGACCACTTTCTCTCCCACTCCAGAGCTCAACATCCAGAGAGCTAAGGAAAGCAGGCAGCAACTGCTCCCAGGTTAGCTGGCAGCAGCCACAGGCCACTAGAGCAGCATGTGCTGGGTGACAGCTTCCTTCACCTGTACATGCAGTGCTTGGTGAGAAACTCACTGCCTTACAGGGGTGTAATCCTGAGGAGGACCAGAGGAGGGATGAGCTGAGAAGAAAAGTAGACCCCAAAACGTTGCACAGAGCATCTGGGCACGGGCTGCGAGGGCAGAGAGTGTAAAACCACGCGAGGGGATTAGCAGCTGTAGAGATTGTTGATATCTCGCCTGCAGAGCCATCAAAGGCACCATTCTTAGCTGGCAGCATTTTTTTATTGCAGCTGCCCCAGGAGATAGTCATTATTTGTTTTATTGGCCTCTCGTATTGTTGTGTGGTGGAGGCTCTGTGCAGAGGGAAACTTGAGCACATTAAGATTTCCTTCTGGGCTGAAATCTTGGTTTCAGGATGTGAAGACTTTCACACCTCCACCCTTAGTGGGGTTTGCATGTCCCCAGCCTGTCAGGACACCAAGCAAGAGCATCATCCCACCGCACTGGACACATCTGCGGGGAGGGGTTTGCCTTCCTCCCGCTGCCAGGAAGCCTCTGTGGCAGCTGCAGTGCTCAGCAAGGGACCTGGTGAGGGATTTCCCTCACACCAGGGAGCGTGGAGGGTGGATTGTGTTGGTTTTACGGCGGTGTGGAGCTGGTGGAGCAGTATAAAGATACGGGAGCGCAGGGAAGGATTAAGGCCAATGGACTGCAGCACTCTGACTTCCTCTAGAGACAACTTTCATGGAATCCAATGTATTAAATCTGAGGAGTCAGTATAGACATATGCACTGGGCTCTCTTTTCCAAGGTCTGCTTGTCTTGCTGTCCCATGCTCATCCTGCACCTCTGGGAAGGTGTGGGAAGAAGGATAGCTGATAATTTGGAGAGCTCTTCAATCAGTGGCATTTCCTGCTCCTCGTGGCCTCTCTGCCTACTAACCCATCTCAATGAGAGTGAGCCCATTACTCCAGATGATTGGCATTTATTATAACTGGAGGGGAGAAAATCCAAAGCCCAGAGAGAAGGCTCAGTATGTTTCTGGATAACAGATGATACCATATACAAATACACAGCCCTCTTTCCCCTCAATTTTGGTCTGTGTTTTGCCTGCTTAACACATTCCTTCTTGCAAGTAGAACACGTTCTGACAATTGAATAGTGAAAGCAATTAGAAACAGAATTAATTGATAAAATTAAAGCCCTGCTTTCCTTATGTTTGTCATATGACTACAAATATTGTCACTCCCATTAATATTAATTAATATAATTATCAATGTTTCTAATCCCTACACATTTTGTTGAAAAGTTACTCTTAGCTCAAGAATATAATTGTTAAGTCGTGGAAATGTTAAGTAGCAGCTAAGCAAGTCCAAAGAATTAATAGCAAACTGTAGTTTATCCAGGGATTAGACTTTTAGCAATACATAATCACCTCTTCATGTGTTCATCCACATAAAATACCTTCCATCCCTCACTACACTTCTGCCTACTTGTCCTTGCAGAGCACAGTTTTCAAGAATTAAAAGAAAAAAAAAAAAGGGAAGATAGTAAGTAAATATTCTTTGCAGTTGCACAGTTTTCTTCAAGGTAAGTCACTGCACTAAGAGTTATGTGCCCTCAGTTGAAAGCAATGTCGAGGTCAATTATCTCACACTGAAAGCCCTAATGCAAGAGACTTTTGTGATCAGAATAATATATGTAACATTGCAAAGCCTTTGTTTTGGGCTTGAGGAAAGCAACTCCACTCTCTCTAGGCTTCCCGACGCATTGTGTCTCGGTTTTGAATGTCACAGATTATTCCAATCATCTAAAGGACTGCCTTGCCATGCTGCTGCCATTTGAACAGCTTTTCCTGTGCCGAGGGCACCGGGATGTGGAGCAGAGCCTTCCTTCCCCGCCACCTGCCCGGTTCCTCGACGGACAGTCAGCAATTCCTGCCTGGCAATAGCATCACAGCAGTCGTTCTGCATGGAGTATTAATCAACTCTTTTGGAAAACAGCCAAAGTGCTTTAAAGGCCTTTGTTGTAGGTTGAAGGGGTTTTTTTTTTGCTGCTAGAAGAGAATAATGTAATCATTTTGCTATTAATTTTTAATTGTATGTTGCCATGCTTTATTACCAATCTATACTGATTTTCCTAAGAGAAATGGGGATGCTGTGCAAGCGGTATCTGTTAGGAACATGTTGGGCCACACTGTAAGAGAAGTGACAGGAAAAAGCTGTTCTTTAAAGTTATTGCAGTCACCTGCTGCTGTCTGTTCCTACAAGGTATCACATTAAATACTTATAAAATGTATGAGCTTAAGAAGATTCATGGGGAAGTGCCACGGTTTTTCCCTGTTGTCAGGTGTTTTTCTTTGCCTGTTTTTGTTGCGTTTGGTTTCTTTCCTTTTTTTAATGGCCACCCTTTGCAAGGAAAAGTTACTTCTGAGAAATCTTTTGCAGGCAGAACAAACTCACCGACATGGATGAAATCAGCAGCAAGAGTAAGAAATACTTATGCATGAATTCTTCTTGGAAGACAATCATTATCAAAAACGCTGAGATTCAGCCACCGATACAGTAGATACTGGTAGAGAAATGGTTGTATCACTCCCTTGTATCCTTCATTTCATCTAAGAGAAAGCTGGCCATGAGGGGACAGGAAATCTTTAATCTCCATTTCTTCAGCTATCTGGTTCTTATCAACCCACATTGAACATGAGCCACACAAAAACTTAATGACGTGTCCTCCACTTAATAAAACAAATGCAAACAAAGCACAGACAGTTCTCTAGTGTGAGATGGATTGATCACAACCAAATATTACATGGGAGCAAGTCTGCAAAGCAGTTCTAAAAAGGCAGAATAGCTGTAAATTCAGGAAGAAATCAATTAGACAAAAAAAAAAAGGAAAAGTATGTAGAAAGTCTACACTTTGCAGGAGTCTAAGTGGCAGGAGGAGGGTTCATCTGTTCCCCCCAATATTTGAATATTATCCTTTGCCAAGAAAAATCATGACTTTTTTTTCTCTTGAATCCCTAATACTAATTATATATTTCTATACAATACTATTTGTATTATGTGATAAACAGAGAGGAGATTGTATCATGTAATATTCTGTAATGTATGATCTCTATAAGAAATCACCCTATATTAAATGATCTGTACAAATATTTGTCCATAATTTTATTTTATAGATAGTAAATAATTGGTAAAAAGTATTACTACACATTTGCATAAAATAGTCATAATATTTATTAATAGCTAACTAACAAATTATTGAATATAATTAATTAATTAACAGCTAACATTGTTGATTATTAATCAGCAATTAATTAATAATTAATAGTTCACAATCTACTGATAGGTATATGTATAGAATATTTATTAATATATTTTACCAATTGTTTACTATCTATAAAATAAATGTATAAATTTATATCTTAATTTAAATAATTATATAATACTATTTAATAAAATTTATTATATATTTTGGCAGATATTGAAGGTTGCCGTAATTTCTGAGAAATTCTGTTGAGAATTTGTGAATTTGCACCCAATTCAGTTGAATTAGTTTCAAAATAGATAAATGGGTGCTTTTCTTGAAAAATAATTAGATACGTTAATTTTCAATAGAAAATTTCTACCTGATCACTTCCCAACTACAGTTTTAGTCCTGGCATGATCATCAGTCAAAAATGTGCCTTTGCCTTCTCCATATCCAGTTCTGCAGGATCTCCAGGACTGGTTCAGGAAAACACTGAAACATTCCCACTAGGTCCAGTAAGCACCTTTTGCAAATAGTGATTCTTTCCTGAGCTGGGGCCAAGATAGGCCAAGTAAAAGGAAAACCAAAAATGCAGATAATGAAGCAACGTGCCCATAACTCCCCAGTAAATGAGAGATTAAACCTTTTGCACATTAGCCAGTCCAGTTGCTCAGTTAACTGTAGTGTTGCCCCTTTTTAGATCAGAAAAAGACCCTCTCATCAGTGCCTTCTTTGAGGTGCTGACAATGCACCGATGCTCCCTGATTTTATGAAGTGTGTGGAAGGTGTCAAAGTGAACCATATTTGCTACTCCCTTCTTTATGGCCGAGAAGTTCTTTTTTGTTGAGCATATTTAACAATATCTGATAAGGCAAATCTACTGTTGTTGTGAGCACAGACACAGAGCAGTCTGTCTCCTTTGCGTTTATCATTCCAGGAATTAGTTAATCAAAGTATATTATTGTAAAACATAACATACAGTATATTATTAATGTGGATTATCCTGTTGCTTCACAGCTTTGAAAAAATAAAACAAGAGAAAAAGCTATTGCATTTGCAGTCACCTTTGGTAGGGAGGTTCTGTTCCTCTGCTTATTTGAGATATTTCTTTCCATCTATTGCACCATCATGTCTCAGTTTCTGAGAGCTATAGATATTTATTCAGTGCCCTTCTATCTTGGCCATCGTAAATAGCTCCCTGATAACAAATCACACTCTCTGAGCATCATTTGCTACCAGAAAGGATCTTCAAGAAGCACATGCTCTGTGACACAGGATATCCCCTGCTTTGTTGTGAATGCCATAAAGAGTTTCACGAAATCAGCTTCCTTCCATTTCGAGGATAAGAATGTATCATCTTTGTAGTGTTACCACTTCTTACTGCCTGTTTAGGCTTCATACTTAGTCACTGCTCCCTTGCTCTTCAAATGAATGCTGCTACTTAAATACAGAGAACGATATGTGCTCATTGAGAGATTCAAGGATTTCAGCTATCAATAGAGACTTAATTATCTGCTGCTGGTGCTCAGGTACTCACTCTATCGATGGCTGTTGTATAAAGCCAGCATAGAAGAGACCACTCACAGCTCATCATGTGCTCTGATCCAACAATTTAGAAAAAAAAATAAAATGTAATGCACGATATTAACTTGCATCTTACTTCCCTATGTCATAACCCATCATGTAATGTTCTGTTATTTCGTGTCATGTCATGCATAACATGATGCAATGCAGTGTCACACTTCAGAAAATATTACTAAGTGAGAACTGATTCTTGTTATCAGTTCAGAATATGACTCTCTGATCCAAACATATTGTGGCTTCAGCTGATGGGAAGGGATCAAACTGAGAGCTACGATGGGCAAATGTTTTCCTTCTCCAGTTTGGCCAGCAGATGTCCATTTGTCAGGTTTAGGTTCGGTTGAAATTTCTTTGTCATGAGCGCTTCCTCTTGTAAAAGAAATAGTAATTTTATGGCAAGCCAAAAGCTGAAAAAAAAAAGCCCTTGGAAATACATAATAAATGTATATTAGAGAGACAGAAAATTGGAAAATGGCCACCTGCCAGCAGCCACATAAATTTTGGAGGCAATGCATTTTTCTGCCATTATGCATTATCAGAGGAATTGCAAATATTTATTAAAAGTATTAAAATGGTGAGAATGTTAAATGTTTCCTTCAGTAGTGGAAATTCGCAGTGCCACATAGCAGATAGGATATTCTGATACAATGTTTATTAAAATGACTTCATTTTATTAGACTGTCGTACACAATAAATGTGCAGGTACAGTTAACAAAAGATCTATTGTGGATACGGGAGATTTGTGAGTAACACTTCAAAAAAATAATCTCTTCTGAACTCTATTCATATAAAAAGCATGCTACAAACTTTCATTAACTGCCTTAGAACCAATTATTTTCTGAGCTTATTTTCTTTTTCTACCACCCCACTGTACTTTGTTAGTCAATTTGTTTGCTTACGTTTTAATGCTTAACAGGATTAAATACAGTTTATCTTTAATTTATATACAAGTAAGCCGAGTGTATACATGTAACAGGCAACCAAATATTACCATTATTTTGGGGTTCATTTACAGGTCTAAACATGAATGGATGGATAGAATGCATTGGGACACCAGCATCTTTTCATCCATGAATAAAGCATTATTAAAAGATCGGTGGGAGCTCCATAGTATTGATTGCAAAGAAATCACATTCCAGTGATTCCAGCGTATTTTCTGCTGGAGTCAATTGTGGTGATTTTGTTCATAAGGTTCTGATTGCAGCAAGATATGGACACGGTGAACACCACTGATGTCCCAAAGCCTCACAGGGCAACTGTTCTGGTTGGCTTTGCCCCTTCCAGGAGGGTCTGAGCACTGATGGGAAGAGCGGCACAATCCCTACATGAGCAGGTGATTTGAGCAAGTGAAGGGTTTAGGTCTGTGAAAAGTCACTGAATAATCAGCTCTCGGGACAGAGTTAGAAAACAGCTGGATTAGAAGGGATACCTTGAGATAAACAACGCTCACAAGATCTGAGACGAGATTGTTGCTGTTGGAATGGAAACAACACCACTTCTGTGCTCAGCAGTTCCCTGAATCAGCAGTGAAAGGAAGGAGTGAAATAGTGAAAACAGCAAAAGCTATTGCCTTCACAGCTGAAAGTGTCATCTTAGTAGCTTTTAAGAGTCTTTTTTTTTTTTTTTTAAGAAATGATCAGAGAAATAAGAAACCAGTATTGTTTGGGGTTTTTTTACATGAGGATTCCTCAATTCCTAATAATCCAGTAAGTAAGAGGTGCAATTGGAGTCTATGTTGTAGGTAGAGGGTGAATAGATCAAAGTTTCAAGATCTTAGATTTATGAAGAGCCTTATGCAAAAAAAACCCAAAACAAACCAAACCTGACTCTGAAAGATAAAATTTCAGAAATAAAGGATTTTGCTCTCTGCTTTTATATGGTGCAGTTTTATTCCTTTCTTACAAACACGGAGCACTGGAGGGGGGAGTAACTTTCATGAAAAATAACACTTTCATCCAGGCCCTTGGGAAAGGATTTGTGGAATATCAAATGTGGTGCAAGGGATTTAACACAAAATGTGTGTGTTGGACAGAGACCGTGGCCACCTCACAGGTAGAGGCAAAATCTCTGTTTGCCTTTGGTGGGGGCAGGTGTGACACCCCCTCCTTCCCTGCTGCAGAAAGCCAGAAAGCAGAGCTGAGATTTGCTCTGTCCAAAGCACTTGGATAATTCAGTCTGTGCAAAAAGTGGAGTCAGCACTTCAAGCAAGGCAAACCCATTTGCTTGGCCAACCTTATTTAATATGAAGCATGTTTTATCTTGATTTAGGTGGTTGTTGTTCTTTAATTAAAGAAATTATAGGAGGTCATTCTCATTAGTTTAGAAGAGTCCTCACAGAAGGGGTTTGCACTGATTTAACCTCAGGGTAAGCTGGCACAACTTTTGCATGTAAATAGGATTTAACACTGGACACTTTGTGTATAATCCAGCTCTTCACTTGTGACATTCAAGGAATACTTGGAAAACTGACTGGAATAAAAAGGTAATGCTGATAAGCTGGGGTCTTACCGTGAAATTTGTCAAATGATCTGCGGTGGCAGCCCGGAGCCTCTGCACCAGCGGGGAAGGGACACCACGGGGCTTTCTGCTGGGGGCAGTCCAGGCAGCACTTCCCATCCCTGCATGATGACATGAGGAGATATTGTACTCAAATCCCATCGCTCACGTCTGGCCAGATGGAGGACTAGCTGAGGGGCACAGAAACTGGGCAGCGAGAGGGGGAAGCAAGGTGTTTCCCCACTAGCTGAGGAAGCCGTGCCTTGGGGCCAGAGCGTGGCACAGGTGCGTGGTGGCAGAGGGGCCACCACTGCCAGGGAAGGTTTGCTGTGAAAAGGAAAAGGAAAAAAAAAAGCAAAAAAAAAAAGCAGCGGCATAAGAAGTGCCAAGTGAATGACGCTGTCTTTAATTGGTACCACCAAGGGCTTTGTGCGGTCAGCACGCTTTTCATGTTTGTAACAGAATCCCCAAATTCGACTGATCTGAAGGGCATCTGACTGTTTTACATTAATCACAAGCTATACAGCAGAGGCTTGAGAGCAAGTGGGCAGATACCCTGGTGGAGTAGCACTAAGGAGCTCTCATTATAATCACCCTGCCAAATCAAAAGAAAAACCCTAAGGCTCCTAATAAAGGAGACCACTGGACTAAACAAATTGAACAAGTAGCCAGACATGCATGAGCTTCCAACTACTGGTGTCAGTCACAGCTTTCTGAGCCGCCCCTTCTGCTCGGTGCTCCGAAGCACACGCAGGTGAAAGGCGGGCTCTTCGTACAGGTGAGGTGCCAGCACACAGCCCTAGTGCTGGGGAAACAGGTACAGGTGCAGTTTGTAAAGGCACCTGCAAGAAGTCATTATTAAACACTTGTCAAACCAGTACAGCACTGAGGAAACGGGCAGTGTGGATGGGGATGCCAGCATGCTCGAGCAGGAGGATGTCTGAGCAGGCTTCTCCATCTTGGTAGGGTAGGATGTCTACTTCTGTAGGCTCCAGTTCAGAAGATATCAAAGAAAGGCCTTGAACCTCACAAATATTTGTGTCTGTAGGACAGGGAAAAGGCACAGTACCCTGAAAGCCCTGTGCACTTCTCACCTTCCTGCACCCGTTGGTGCAAGTTATTATATTTATTATATTCCCTAGTGGAAGGCAAAAAACCAAAACAAACAAAAAAATTAAAAAATGTGGGTTGCTGCTTTCTGAAAAAATGCAGTTGGCACTAATGAAAGATCTCCAGAAATGGGAGAATAAGAAAATTCTAAGTTTAGAGGCAAACCTATTTTTTGGGGTTTTTTTTAAGAAAAATGAGCTAGGTTCCTTTAGCTACCACCCCTCCTCAAAAGCCATCAGGCAGGAAACCAAGATTTTGAGGTACTCCCTCAAAACTCAAAAAAAAAAAAAGAGAGTAAATATCAAGGAAGAAAAAGAAACAAAAATTACTAGGATCAGTATTTAGCACAGCAATCAGGGGAAATAAAAAAAAAGGAAAGGTTTCAGTAGGGAACAGATGGACAAGGGATGATGCACTGAGGCATCAGGTGAAGGCATCAAAGGAGAGGTTTTATGGAAAGAAAATTCCCTTTGAGGAACTGATGGTTAAAACACTGTCAGCTTTTTAAGTATTGGGAAGTTTTACCTACCTTCTTCATGAACGTGGTCAGACACAGTGACAGTGCTGTGAGGGCACTGGTGGCTGTCTCCCTGTCACCATCTGAGGGGCTGCACCTCTGTATGAGCCTCATCATGGAGGAGGCACAACTGGGGCTCCTCTTGCAGGTGTCCTGGTGCCTTTCAAACCTGGAAGGTAATATTTTGAGAAATCATTATTAAATGCAATTCTTACTTTTTAAATTAATTTCTCTTTTCCCTGCTTTTTTTTTTCCCTATTGCTTCTCTCTATGGTTTGTTTTTAGGGTTTTTTTTCTTCCACACTGTAATAAATCAACATATAAATGTAGTGGATTATTTCCACCTGGAATGTTGGAAGACAAATAGTACAAAAGATCAGTTTGGTCATTTACCATATTGGTTTAGCATGGTAATACTCATGGGTTTTTTTTCATTTCTCATTTCAAAACTGTAAACAAATGCTGCAAGAACAGATCAAATACTGCCTACCTAAGACAGTGCCTTGTGCAATGAAAACATCAAACCTGGTTTTGGAAGGCCAAACTGCCCCTCCTTTACTTTTTCGTAGGGAAAACGCAGAATTTGGAATTATCCCGAAATTTGAAACTACATTTTTGCCAAGCAGCAAAAATGCACCCTTAGCACCAGATGCACCCTTAGCCACGTTAAATCACAAACACATACACACATGGAGATGAGGAAAATGCACATTAAATATGAAAAAGTATTCCTTTCAGGCAGAAGATAAACAGCCCTACTACAAATTAGCTCTCGGCCCCGTCAGGTGTGAATCTCTCTTGTCAATACGTACCAAATTCCCTGAGATAGAACCACATGGTCATGAATTTTATTTCTCTCCTGCTTAATTCCTAGTACCACTCTCCCTTGTGGATTTACTCAGGGATGATTTACAGTGGGAAAGGTGACATTAAACACGTCATTGAGCATGCAAAGATGCTGCACTCAAAGCAGCATATGCTTGACTTTGTTAAAAGATGAATGCTGTCAACTCCACAGTGCCCACCAAGATCTGGCCTCCTTTTTCTTCCCAACAAACTTTGAGGAAGATGCAGACATGAGTCTTGACACTGAGAGAAATAAAAGTTAATGTATTCATGACATGATTTCACTTGCAGCCTGATTTAGCAATGTCTTGTCTAGTTTGGATCTGCTGTTGCTTTTCCTAATTTACTCATTGCACAAAGAAAATAAATAAATAAGTGCACTATAGTCTTATTTATCCTTCTTTGGACATTTCTTTACCAGGCAGATGGTCAATTAAGAGCACTAAACAATGACACTGTTTTCTCTGTAAACATTTTTTTTCTAATAGCCTAACAAATGAGAATCTGTGCTGCCATACTGCTGAATACCATCTTGACTTTCTAATTACAAAGAACTGTGTCTTGATAGTAACAATTACAGCTGTAACAATGATGCTGGTACTTGAACAATATAGTTGGAGGCAAAGTGCTTATCGGAATATTCACAAATAAAGGCTTACATTTATGCCAGCTCTGGAGAAGGGAGGTTAAACAGTTGGGGGTGGGGAGGTGCAGAAGAAAGGTTGAAAACATTGGTTTAGGAGCTACAGATGTGGATTTGAATCCAATTACATGAAAGGCAAGGGGGGGGCGAAGCATGAAAAGATGCTGTTTCCTTCTGTTTGGCTAATCAATAGGTTAAAGGGTTAGTAAAATTAACATGTTAATAACATTCATTCTGCTATTTATATACCGGTCATAGTATTCTCAGAGAATTATGTCTTGTGAGCAATACACATATTATTATGCCTGCTTTTTCCCTTTTTTTCTTGTCTGAGATGGTGAAATGGTCAGTATTTTTTCCACCAATGCGATAGAAATTAGCTTCTCAAGTCTCTAATTTACCCTACTTTTCTTATTTAACTTCTTAAATCCAAGTCTTCCAATATTTGGGTGGGTTTTTTCCCTTCTTTTTTTTTAATGAAAAGTTCCCCCTACCCCAAAGAAAAGGGACACCACAGCCCCTGAGCTCAGCACACATCCCCAGCGCTGATGTCCCAGAGGAGCACGTTGGCACCAGGGCGCCAGGTCACCATCACAGAGGGAACAGGTTCCTTGGAGGAGGCTCAGCTCCTTCCTCCTGCTCCTTTGTCCCCCCCCTGCACCTCTGGTGCCACAGGGCCCCTCACCCCTTGGCACTGCTCTGTGCCCACAGGCAGGATGGCTGTCGCCTCCTCCGCTCCTTCCCTCGCTCCCGCTCCCACAGCGCTCCGCCCGCTCTCCGAGCCGTAATTTAGCCCACACTTATTAATCAGTGCACATAATTTGTCTCTAATGCTGTCAATTTAAGATGGCAACCTGACTTTTTTTTTGGAGGGGGCAGGGTCAACAATTTAATGAATCTCGTCTGCATTTTAATTCAGACCTAATAATCTGCCTCTGGCAGTTTTCTTAGAAAAGCACAACGTTTTCCAGGATTTTCTTTCATCAAATCCAGCACAATGGGATGTTTACCTTCCTGCCTTGGATATGCTCAGCCCAGGGTAAGTCACCTACAGACCTACCTTAATCAAACTGGGACATGGACTAAATCTACTGGTTTGGCCTTTGAAGGGTTTTCCTGGGGAAAAGAGAAGGAAAGAAGGAAAGCAGAAGGAAAGAGAAACCTGGGGCCGTGCAGTCCCTTTTCTGCACAGATTGGTGCAGATTGTAGGCAAAAAAAATACTACAGACTTCCATGGTTCACTGCCCCTCATGGAATAACTTCACAAATGGTTGGAGCATCCAAGAAGTGCTTTCTTTATTTACTCCTGTGTTTTTCTTTTTGTCCTTCCTAAAGTCCAGCAGTAGGGAAAAAATGTACTGAAAGGAAAGAAGGGTGCAGAAAACTCAGTCCTCCCGACGAAGCAGCGTGGATGAGTTTGTCTAACTGCCGTGGCAGGAGGCTGGAGCCTGACGGAGCAGCTCAGTGGACTTCCCTGGGTCAAAATAAATAAAACTCCCCAAACAAGAGGCTCTGGCTCCCCGTGTCAGATGTAAACGGAATAGACTTTGTTATTAGGAGCAATGTGCCTTTGCCCTGGCGAGGGCTGTGCTGACAGGAGCCCCTTTCTGGATTTCAGTCAGCTGCTGTCACTTGCCTTGACAACACGGGCAGTTAATGTATTCACGGCGTTCCTGCACACGCATCTGCAATTCCCAGCATATTGTATTGTTTACCCCTGCTCTTTTGTAGTAGTGCGTGTAGTAATTTGCCTTCCAGCAGCAGAAAATTCCTCAGCTTAAAATTTTACCCTCATTTTGTTTGCCCTTAATAGAAAAACAACCCTATTGCAGCCCTGCCACCAGCACAGCTACAGCACTCAGTAGCACCACAAACAGAAAAATGGCACATTTCACATTCCCATCAGAAGTGTCTTCTATATATTTTTATGCATATCCTTCATCTTTTCTCTGCCACATGTTATTTTTTCCCCTTTAACAGCTGCTTAGCATATTTTATGCCTTCTGGACTGGTTCTAAGCAGCACTGGAAGGGGCATTCCAGCAACCTACCTGAGTACTGACAGTAACAGCAGAGGGGTTTTATGTCCCAAATTCCCTCCTAGTGCTGGTACGTCTGCCTGCCAGCACAACGAGGCGCTTCTGGGGCAGCTACTGCTTCACAGTCCTACAGCACCTCCAGTCCAGTGGCTCTTTTGAGTTTTTGGTGAGGAATTAGCTGTCATTTCACTGATTTACCCCCTCATATTCATTATTGTTCCCTACTGCAAAACCTGCCAGATTCAGGTGTCTGTCCTCACCAGATATTACAAGGCAGCCCCATCTGCCACACCAGAAATATCACTAAGTCTACTTCATTTTCAAACTTAAGCTCCAAGCTGGTAATGAAATGAGGCAGAAGACCAAATTCCCATATCCTGAGACCCTGCAGGTTAAATGTATCATTTCCTGATACATAAACATCTTTCTCTAGGAACTTAAAAAAAACCAAAAAAAAAAAAAAAGATAAAATAGTTCCCTTAGTTCAGGCATCTCCCAAACACAGGGGTAAGGTCATTAGAAAGACGCAATGGGAAATGCAGTGAAATTCTCTCATCTCAGTTGCAGGTCTACATTCAATAGACTCGTGTTAATGCCCTTTGCTTTAGCTGCTGTAGTGTCAGAGTGACAGAATCCAAGCAGAGTCACCTGAAGTCGTCCATAACACGCTACTTAGTTTAAATTCCTTTGTCTGGCCACAAATGTCCAGTTCTAGCTAAAAGCTTGAAAGTGAGACAAATGGTAAAATAGACACTTCAAGAGAATAAAATTGTGAAGTGCTCAGGTAGCACTGTGGAGAAGGGAGTTTCAATTCAGAGGGCTTTCCAGATAAAACAGACAATTAAACTCTTATTGTAAAGAGATTCATCCCTCCCTGCTTTTCTTTTTTTCTTTTTTCTTTTTTTTTTTTAAAGCAAGGGGAAAATAATACTGGGAATTTAGAAACATGAATTTTTAAAACCTAATAAGCTACACTAACAATCTACACAATTCCCTTCCGTTAAAATATTCATTTGGAAACACAAGATTTGTGATGAGGGCAGGCTGGGTAAACAGGCCTGAATGCTGCTGATGCAGGGGAGTCTCAGTGGTACCCCCCAAGGCCAGTGCTATCCTTGGCCATCCTTGGCTTAGCCCTGTCTTGGTTCTCCTCCTTGTCCCTCCACATGCTGGAAAATAACAGCCAATGAATTGCACAGTGCTTTTGAAAGGTAGGGGATGTAAACTGCCCTTTTATGTCTGTGAGGACTGTTGGGCACAGACAGAGAAGGAGCTGAGCAGTCTGGAGGAATAGAGACCTGGCATTGGGAAGTTCCAAGCCTTGCCAGACCTCCCAAGTGCTCCTCTAGAAGAGACCAACTTGCACCTGACAAAAGATTTAGGTGTTGACAAAGAGACATATTCCATGGATTTGTTTTCCTAGGCACCTGCAGCCACACCTTCTATGTTGCTCCCCATGGGACCATGATGTCTGATGTACTGTTAGTACAAAAAGACACTTAAAAACTCTTTGGAAAAAAGGGATTCACACATTTTAATGAAACCTCCAAGAAAAGGGATGAAAAGCCACTCTTCAGTAGTTAGAGAAATAGTTTTAGGCTTGATTTCCTTTCCCTCCTTTTCTCACCTCACCCCAGTACCA